CATCACCATCACCATCACCATCACCATCACCATCACCATCACCATCACCATCACCATCATCATCATCATCATCATCATCACCATCACCATCACCATCACCATCACCATCACCATCACCATCACCATCACCATCACCATCACCATCACCATCACCATCACCATCATCGTCGTCACGCCCGACCCTCCTACGTACCCAGGGGAGGCTCTTCAGCGGCGGATGGGGCACATGGAGGCGCTACGGCGGCAGAGCGTGCCCGAGATTGTGTTCGCGCACTTCTCCAACAAGTACGGACAGCGCTCGCTGGTGGACGAGTACGCGGCCTGCCTGGCCAACACACTGGCTCAACATCGGGGAGGTGCGTGTGGGGGTTACTGCAGGGAGGGGGAGGGGTGGTGGTGGCGGTGTTCTGGGGGTCGGAGCCAGAAGGCTGCTCTGGTTGCATCCAAAACCCTGCACCGCCATACCTGCACCCAATTCTCCGCCCCATTCTCAGCCACTGGCCCGGTGTCCATTGCAAACTTGATGTTTCTTAACCCCGCCCTGGCCCACAACACCCTTTTCCCCCTCCCCGCCTCCAATGCCCGCCTACTAGTTGGTGTTATGGGACGTCGGTTGCAGTTCATTTCCTTGTGGCATTCAATAATGGTAATCCCTCCCTCTCTCTCTCCCTCCCACACCTCCCCTCCCCCTACCCTCCCTCCCTCCCTCTCTCCCCCCCACACCTCCCTTCCCCTACCCTACCCTCCCCGCACCAGAGGACCTCCGTTTGGAGATCTTCTCACGTTTCCTGACCGAGCAGTGGGACTTCGCTACCTTCTTCGACTTCCTCACAGCCAACAGCCTGGCGCTGCAGGTGCGGCAGCTGGAGGGAAAGGGGAAAGGGGAGGGGGAGGAGAGGAGAGGGGGTTGCGTGGAAGATGCGGTGTGGCGCATGGATGTGAAGCATGTGCGGTGGTGGCCTATATACGAATGCGGTTGAAGTCGCTAGCCATAGGACAGCAGCTCGTTAGCTACAGTGCTCCCGGACGTATGTATCGGTTCGGAATGCACGCCTACTTTAAAGTGTTGAGGTTGTTCGGCTTGTTTAGATCTCGCATGGTACGGATTTTGCTATTCGAGGGGTCGCAACTCACGTAACAGCCAAAACTGTCTATCAGTCAGTGTGGGGGCGTCCAAGGGTTAGGGTTGCCTCTGCGCAACGTACGTCATGTCTATACGTTCGTCCACGTGCGCGATGTTCGTACGTATGCATTCCAGGCCCAATCCCCAGCTCCTCCCCCTCCTCCCGCCAGCCTAACACCTCACCGTCATCCGGCCCTGTGCTACCTGCATTTCCTTCCTAACCTCCCGCCCGCTTCTCTCCCCTTCCTTCTCCCCTCCTTTCCCCCCTCCCCCCCTCCCTCTCCCGCCTCCCCCCCTGCAGCCCAGCAAGGCCCTGTGTATCGAGTACTCCCGGGAGGCGGGTCGTGACGAGCAGTACCCTTGGATCTGCACCCACAAGGCGGCCGCCATCGCGGACCTGGTGATGGGCCCCAGGTCTCAGGCGCTGAGGGACAGATTCAATGAGGCGCTGCTGGCTGTCAGTGTGCCGGTGAGGAGGGGGAGCGTAGGGGAGGGAGGGGGAGGTTGGCGGGCGGCCAGGTTGGCGGCCTAGGTTGTGGCGCACTTACACACAGTACACATTTCATCATCTCGCAAGCGCGCTTCATGGCCCACACGAAACATGCTAGAGCGCATACACGCCTCAGCCCCACACAGGTCCCCACACGCTCCGGAACCCTCGCATGTGTTGTGTTCCCCAGGCTGACGATGCGGATGTGGAGAAACTTAAACGCGACCCCCGCTACGTTGCCGCTGCCGCGGACGCCGGCGCCGGCGGTCCGCCGCTGCCGGAGCGCTTCTACCGCCTTCCTCGCCCCCGCTTCCTGGCCCTCCTCGCCTCCGAGATCGCCCGCCTCAATGCCGCCATTGCGCACATGGCCCGCAGCCGCTTCGAGGCCCTGGACCTGGTCGGCAACGAGGTGGTCCCCGCGGGTGCCGTACCCGGGTACCTGTCCGCAGTGGTGACCTCCAAGACGGGTCCCAGCTGCAACTGGGCCGCAGTGCAAGTGGGTGGGGGCCGGGATGGGAGTGAGAGCGAATGTGTTATACACACACGCGCTAAACCAGGCGAGGCGATCATCGGCAGTTCCTTCTCGTGGCTCAGTTCATTTATGAAACACACACGCACACACGCACACACGCACACGCACACGCATATTTTTCTCTTTTTTACCACCCGTCCCCCACCCCCCGGCCATCCCTGCCCGCCACGCAGGAGGCCTCCCAGTCGTTCATCGCGGACGCACTGGCCTACCAGCAGGACCCCGCAGCCGCATCCACGGTCTCCTCACCCGAGCCGGGGGGCGGTCCGGGACCCGAGAGCAAGATCGCCATGGACGCCTGGGTGGCCGCGAGTGTGTACTGCCCACTCATAAGGGACCACTTCAAGCTCAAGGTGCTGAGGCCCAGGCGCATAGACGTCGATGGAGTCGACGACTTTGTCGACGACGGCGGCGGCAGCACCGGCGATGGCCTGCTTGGCGGTTTCTTGCTGGGCCTGACACGTCGACACACCAAGATTATGGTGGCTAGGCTCAAGGGCTGGGTGCGGCCGGAGGCCGCCGTCACCGCCGGAGGCGGCGCTGCGGACGCTGCGCTTGTCGCTGAGCTGATTTCTTCTGTTGACAAGGCCGTCAGCGGCGGTGATAAGTTCCGGGTGTATGCCCAGATGTTGTTGGCGATCATTAAGCAGCAGGTGGCGGCCGCGGTGGGGCTGCTGTTGGGGGACCGGGGGGCAGCGAATGACGCGGCGGGGGCGGACGTGGAGGATGCGCTGTGCCGCCTGGAGGACTGCGTGCTCATCATGCTCAAGCAGGCCAAGTGAGTGTGTTTAATGACCTGTGGGTGTGTGTTGGGTGCGTGTGAGATGGGAAGTGTGTGTGTGTGTATGTGGAAGGAGTGTGGCCAGAGAAGGGGTTGCTGCTGAGCTGATGGATGTCTCAATTGCAGAGAGAGGAAATGCGGAGGGGGGGTGCGGAGGGCGAATGAAGCTGCGGGGCGGGTGTGGCGGGAAAACGCTGCTCCTCCTCGCCCCCCACCTGCCGTGTCGTGTCCCCACGGTCTCCACACCAAGCTTTTTATGACCCGTTCCCTCCGGTCCCTGTGCCCACCACCTCCTTCCACTTACCCACTACCAATCCGGTTTTTTCATTACCGCCAACCCCGCTCCCACCCCTTCCTGCTTGTCTCGCCCTGCTTGCAGGTATCTGATGCAGTGCAGCTCCCCAGAGGTCCAGATAGACCTGGTCAGGAGGTTGGCCCCGCAGACCCGCATTTTCGCGGTGGGGCGGCAGCTGCTGGTATGGCGCCAGCACCGGGCCACAGTGCACAACATGGCGGCGCTGGTGGTGCAGAGCTTGTGGAGGAGACACAGGAGGAGGAGGAAGGCCCCGGTGGCCGCGGCCCTGGAGGTGCAAGGTGGACAAGGGTTGCAGCGCGTGGAGGCGTCGGTATCGAACTTGCCGTTGCTGGCGGGGGCGGGGCCAGGGGCTGGGTCCTAGGAGTGGTGGTGTAAGCGGCGGTATCGGGGTTTCGTGGCTATGGTGAAGCGGCGAGGGTGGTGGCGAGGGTGGTGAAGTAAAGGCGGTGGTGCAGTGGCCACAAGCGCTGTGCGGAGGTGTTGCTGCCACGGCAGCAACCGCAGCAGTGGACCAAGGACAGCGATAGAGGAGGAAGGCGATGGAGGGGACTGCTGCTTTCCCCAAAGCAACGAAACCGCCATTACCAACATCATCGGGGATGTACTTAGACTTCGTAGGTTATGAAGTTCGCTGTGTGAGGCCCGTGCCTTACCAGTCGTGTCGGGGGCGAGACACAGCAGCAGCAACCCCAGCAAGGTGCGGCCCTAAGTGCGCGGCCTGGGGTCTAGTTCACGAGGAAAGCGGGTGGCAGGGATGGATACGGCTGGCAAGGCCGTAGCGCGATGCAGCAGCGGGTGCAGGAAAGTTGGGAACGGAAGACATCAAGGTTTTTGGAAAAAGATCAAGATCAAGATGCGAATTTAGATTTCCAAACTCAAATCTAGGCCAGATTAGATCCAGATCCACTGCTATTAAATGCCGTGGCTCCCAGTGTGAGGTGTCACCGCAACTGCTGAACTCTCTTGGAAGCTCTTGGAACCTTCTTTCTCCTCCATGTGTATAGATAGTGCTATCTGTGCACGTATGCATGTTGCATGGGTATATGTGTGTATGTATGCACGTATGCGCGCACGGGCGAAGGTTGTTTGGAGTGGGGATGCTGTGTGGGGGGAACCTGGCAAGACCCTGGTAAGATGCAACGGGCAAAGAGTGGGGGAGACGCATTTCAGAGGCTGAGGGGGCAAGAAGGAGGGGATCCCCAGAGGGAGGGAGTGGAGGTTAGAGTCAGGTGTGCGGTGGGGCGGGGCTCGGGGTGATGGTCGGTTACCCCCGGGTCGCCGGGGGTGGTTCCGTTAGCAGGAGCGGGAAGGAGCCACCCGAGAGGCGGTGAAAGTACAAAGTAGGCGGCGGACGGCAGTACCATTGCAAACCCGACTTCAGGGAGGGAACTGGCGGACAGCGGCTGTGGCGACTACGTCGACATGGGTGTCGCCCCCGCTGTTGCTGCTTCTGCTGCTGCTATTACTAATATATTTGAAGGTGCTAGCTGCGAGGAGTGTACATGAAGGGGGCATCGTGGTGGTGCGGTGCGGTGGCAAGGTTGTTCCCGAGCAGATAGGGAGCAGATAGCGTGGAGGCCGTCTCCTCACGGGGTGCAGCCCGTGTGGAAGGGGGAAGAAGCTGGACGTATGGCTACGGGGGGTCCGCAGGAAAAGCGATATGGCTTTAGATGGCAAGATTTGGTTATGGGGCCCAAGGGTTGCTACTGTACACATGACCATGGTGCGTCGCCACTTTCCAAGCACGGCGACGTGCTGCCAGCTATTCGATTTCCGAGGGCGCCAAGTTTCGTCCGGAAATCCCGTGCCCAACCGAACTTAACTGAGCTAGATTGACAGTACGACTGTAGGACGGGACAAAGCGTAGGAGGAGGGGGGCACTAGTGGCTTTCCTGCGGTGCGTGTGTAAGGGTGGGCGCTTTTTCCCAACGACCAAGCATTGCAGTATGCGCATGAAAGCGGACACGTTTTTCATGTTTGCCGCGCACGTTTCCATGTATGTATGTGTGTGCAACCGGTTGCACCATCTTGTATATGCATGTGCATGTGTGACCGAGCTGTGAAAGCACGGAATGCTCTGACGCATCTTGCGCGGAGCGGTACGGGCTGCTGCACCTGACTTTCTTTTGACCCTTTTCCGACTGCTTACCAGATCATTCAGCTGGACCTATCTAATTTACTCATATGTGGCTCCCTGTACCCAGCCAAAAGTCTTCTCGTTCCCTAGACCGTACACGGGGTGGGGGACATGGTAGCTAACTGGGTTACTCGCGCTTGGCCAACACTCTGAGGCCTTAATCCTGGCCTTGATCGGAGGTTGTGTCTAGGGTCTCCACTTAGATGTGATGTGTGTAGTGAAGCGCCTCTGGCTGTTGGGGGCTTGTCCGGGCCATGGTAGGGGCCTCGCCTTCCTCGTCTATACCGTATCTGGTTCACGCGGGCGGCATTACGTAATGGTGATCTGGTCAGATCCATTGCTGTAACATGTTCCGTTCATCCACCTGCTCTTGCAATAGCACGCACGAATCTGCGAACACCCGCAAGAGACCCATCTAGCTTTGACTTTCTTACCTACCATTGTCGAGAGAACTGTGTGTACATTCTGCACGGCTGCCATAAGCGCTGTACAGGACGCTCGCGCGCCCGAACACCTGACTGATGTACTCCAACAATAGCTGTCGTGAGAGTTGCCATAAGGCAGTCTGGTCGTTGGGGTTGTGCTTCGCGGCTGTCATGCGGGCCTCTTTCGTCGTGCATCTGTAGCAGCCTCAGGGAAATCTGGGTGCGGGGCGCTGCTGCGGGATTGCCGCGGGTGCTGGGGTGGTGCGGGTTCCCCTACATAGGTGAATACACATTATGCGGGGCTTGGGTGAGAGTGAGGGCCGGGTCATGCTTGCAAAGGATTCCACGTACTTTACCCTGTTTTTCGCGGCCCACTGGAGGGGGTGGATGGTCGTGAGGAGTGCCATCAGGACGTGGATAGTCGTGAGGAGTCACAGATCGCAGTCCCTTCAAATGGTCGGGAAGCCAAGTGAATTCCAAGGCTAACATAACATACAAATGACGAGCATACTTCTCACGCCTCTTGTTGTGCCTCTCGTATCCCTTCCTCCTGATAACGAGTCTTGGCTCGGCTGGTGACGGCATACCAGCATCGGAATCTGGTGTGTGGGCTAACCCGTCCGGCTGTCAGGGCGATGGATTCAGAGCGATAACCTGGATCCACTTCGCGCGCAATTTTTGATGCAGGGCGAGGGGTGCCGTACAACAGGTCGCATTTGGCAGGAGAACAGAAGTCTGCTAAAATACAGAAATCAGATGCATCGGGCACATTTTCTACAAAGACCTAAAGAAGAACATGACCTTACAAGATGCAGACCTTACAGGGCACCTTGCCAACCGGGGAGGCGACACATTCACTGGTCGTATTGTTCTGGACTACGATGCGCAAAGCATATACTGGGGACGAGGTGCTGCACTGACTGGCGTGTTTCGGTCGGTTGCACGCTGAGCTCCGGATTTATGGCAGCAGGTTGTGCTGTAACCCGAAACCTAGACATGTTTAAATGCAGATGTGCGGGCAGTGTCGCTATTGCCCTTGCGGCCCAGCCGCCGCGCCATTGCCATCAACGTCACCCTGCTGCATGACGTCGTACGGTTTAAACAGCTGCTTGAACCTCTCCACCCGCTGGCGCTCCTCCTCGGGACTGGACGAGCATTGCTTCCAGGAAGCCCGCTCCGGAACCCCGGCCAGATCAGCAAGCACCTCGCGGCCCAGAGCCATGGGCCACCGCTCGCCTGAAGTAAGCACGTCGTCAGGCGGCACGGCATTTCAGGACCCGTTCCGCTTCGGGCCTAACCTATTGCAGCAACGCATGCAAAAGGCCGCCAATGGCACATACGCCACGCAGTTGCAACCGACGCTCGTTAAGAATGGGTGCAGCAATTCCCTCGACCAACTGCTGGCGGACCCGCAATCCATCGCAGCACACATCCACACACAAGAAACCAGCGGCTCCAAATCTTCCCTCCCTTTCCCATCCCCTTTCCCAACCCACGTAAACCACGCAAGCAGCCTTCCCTTCCCCCCGTCTCGTAACCCTCCGTCCCTCCCCTCACACCTCGCATCAGCGGCCGCACCAACCGGCAGCCATCCGGTAGCACCGCCATGAAGTACTCCGAGTCCGGGCCGCCAACCGCCTGGTGGAGCTGTCGCCGCAGATCATCGGGTCCCGACCCACGGGTCGGTGGGGGCAGCAGCTCCAGCTTGTAGCCAGCTGCAGCGGCAGCGGCATTGAAGGCCTCTCCTGCGCGCCTGCCTGCCGCAGGCGTCACCCCTAGCACGTTGATGTGACAGTGGTTTCCCCCCTTGTTCCTTAGCGAGAGGTGGCGCTCGAAGGCCACCAGCTCCCGACCCAGGGAAGCGTACATGGAGCGCAGAGCGGAGAGATACCTGGCGGACAGCAGGCAGCAGGGGAGTCGAAACGGGTCCAACAAGGAAAAATGATAGTGCCGAACCCGGATTCAGATAGGAGGGGCTTTACAAGCAAGAAGATATATCGGATGCAAAAAAATGTAGCTGACCAAATGTGAAGTGAATGCCATGTAAAAGAAGGGTGGGTTTAGCAGTAGCAGTTCACATACGGAGGCCCTTCCACGGTTACCGGGGATTACGGGGATTAAGCCCAAACGAATGCAATGGACTCGGGAGCTTGATTGAGGTGGGAGCCGTGCGCGAGGGATGCCCAGGAGGAGAGGCAGGGGTCGGGGCGGTGTCGCTGTCAGGGCGCGGAACCTGGAGGTGGAAAGTAAGCACCTGGTTCCACAACCCCCCAGATCACCTATCTCCTAGAAACCCCGGGCCCTCTTCCAATGGCCAGTGTCTCAAAAGGCACGGGGCCCTCCTCCCCACGGCCCCTCCCCTTCGCCGCGCACCTCTCCATCTCCGCGAAGCACTGAGGTGACAGTCCTACGGATGCCGACATGTGGTCAATGGGCACTATGAGCACGTGCTCCGGAGTGATGGGGCCCTTGTCGACCGCCAGATACACCTGAAGAGAGGGTTCCCGTGTAGCACATGATGGGACATGGGGCTAGCTTGCCGGCAAATGTAGCAAATCTGCGAAGACCTAGGACCTGGGTCTGCTATTGCAGCAGCAACAGCAGCGGCAACACTGCGTCGCTAAAACCAAGTGCATTAGCGATGGAGACCCACACACCCATCTACCCATGCGCACCGACTCACCTCCTCCCCCACACTAGCCACCAATTCCGTGTCTGCGGATGCTGAGCCCAGACAGAACCAACAGCCTTCCACCGGCTTGCCCTCACCACCACCACCGCCGTCACCGCTACCGCCCGCCGCAGCCCCCGGACCGCGTCGGCCTGAGCCCGCGGTGCCTGGAGTTAACACACCGCGTTAGGAAGGTGTCCGCCACAGCAAGCAGCCGGGGGTTCCGCCATCATGGCATAGTGGAGTGTGAAGAGGCGGCAGCAGGCAGGGCTCAGGCAATGAAATCGGTGCTAAGGAGTCAGTTTCTAACCAAAGGCGCGGAAGCAGGAGGGATACATCTTTAAGTTCGTCGGGCTGCTGGGTGGTGAACAACGTGGGAAGCTCAAGGGCCCCCGTCGGCCCCGTGAGAACGAGGACATGCTCCCTTGGGGGGGAGGTGCGCCACCATCATCCACCCTGGGTGCCGCTCGAGCACTTTAGCGTCTTGCGAGTTTTATCACCACATACTAGCTGCCCCAATATTGGTACACGGGAGCACTTGTAGGCTTGCGGCAGTTGCCCACCACCAATATGCTTATCCGTTACCCTCGTCAAGAAGCACACCGGGGGGCCTGCACAGCTGCAGAAGCAACCCCCACACAGCGGAGGGCCTCCAACCGTCCACGTGTCTCCATCCGTGTCCCCGCATCCAACCCACCCATGCATACATTCCAAACCCCCTGGCCCCTTCCAGGGCTCCGCACCCGCTGTGGAGGGCTCCACGAACACCTGTCGGCCGTTGAAGTCGCAGTTGTGCAGCTGCAGCGCCCGCTCCGCCCCCTCACGGGTCTCGAACTGCACGTGTGTGAAGGCCTGGACCCGGCCGTCACGGTTATTGGTGCCCCGCCACACGTTGACAACCTAGCGTGGGATGAACGGGCGTGGAGGCGGCAGTTAGGGGCTGAGATGCGGCGGGCCGAAGCTGGAGCCCAGCCAGGGATTGATTGATTGGTTGATTGATTCAGCTGCCCGGTGAGACGCGACAACTAGGAGTGAAGCACCCGCAAGTACGCAATACTACCTGTACAAGTCCCAGTCAGCCGGCGATACGTTCTTTCCTCCCTCTCTTTCCCTGTCGCACATACACACACAGATGCGGTCTCCCACGCGGTGAATGGCCTTAAACCTGGTATACATACAAACATCGCACACATGTTGGCGCTAGCTCGGGCATGCCCTCAAGCACACCCACCTGTCCCGCCTGCGCAAAGAACCCTGCGATCTCTTCCTCGCCCGCTGCCCAGGGCACATTCTTGACCACCACCGTCTTCCAGGGGTCCCTAGGTACGTCCGGGCGGCCGGCGATGGGCTGCGGCGTGTTGGCTGCCTCGCGCCGCTGCCGCTTGGCCGCTGAGCCGCCACCGGGCTGCTGCCACCGGCTGAACTCACCGCCCGCATTCTGAGAGGAATGGGCAAGCACCAGCAACCAGCAGCAACGAGGTGTGCGACGCAACAGCGGTCAGGGAGGGCGCTATATCCGAGCACCCACATCCAACAGTATCTCCCCGACAGTTCCCTCGACTCACCCGGTAGCCTCTGCGGCTTTGTACATGGCCTTTTGTTATACCTTCGCCACTATCGCGACGCAGCCGTGATGCCACTTTGCGCCGCATCCTGCCGCCGGCACCGCGCCCCATTCTCCCCCCACCCCCACATCCGTTGAGTTCGGTTGGATCTGCTGACCCTTTCTTAACGTCAAATTCCTATTTTTATTATTTTATTTCTTAACGTCAAATTCCTATTTTTTATTTTTTTATTTCTTTGGTCTTATACTGTACCTGAGCTCTCTGCATTCCCCGGGAATCCATACCCACCATCTCCTCCTGCTCCCGCTTAGCCTGCCGCAGCTCAAAGGGCGAGGTCGTGCAGCCCTCAGGTACCACACACAGCGCCTCCGGCTCCATGGCGGCCGCCGGCACCAGGCCAAGCGCGTGAAGCGACTTGGCCTTGGCGGGGTGGCCCATTGGGGCCAGACCCACAAAGCGAGTCACGCGGACGCCGGCACCCAGGTCACGGTGGGAGAAGGGCGGCCGCGCGTAGTGGAGCGCCTCACCTCCGGCGATGTGGTAGCGGGGGCGAGCCAGCGCCACTAGCTCCGAAACCACATTGGAGCCGGAGTTCCCCGGACGGTAGCCTGTGTATGTGTGTGTTGTGTGTATGTGTGTGTTGTGTGTATGTGTGTGAGGGGATGTGCATATAGGGGAACGACGCAGATTTGAGCACCCTATCTGCTCCTACTGCGGGTATTGATAGTGTCGCCCGCACCGGCCCGGTCAACAGCTCGGTACTACCACAGCCCACTCACAAAAGCTCCGGGGCACTTGCAAAAAAAAAAACAAAGAATGAAAGCAAGCACATCCCATACCTCTACGCCTCTGTGCATCCGCACCCGTAATAACCGCACCCGCACCCACCCACCTTCCGGCAAGGGTCCCTGGATGCCGGTGGTAAGGCCCCGCGGCCACTCGCAAGTGAGCAACACGTCGACCTCCCCTTCGAGGGCCTGAAGCTGGGCCTGGTGGTGAGCGGAGGGATGGGGCGTACTACAGCATTTTAATGTTTGCGCAATTACGGTTTGCACAACTTGCTTGGGATGCCCAGTCGCCCCATACGCCGCATCGGGCCGATGGCCATCCATAAGGAGGATAATAGCTGAGGGAACGCAGCTACCCTAGCCTTGCGTGCCGCGCAGCGTTCAAAGTTGCGCGTGCTTGGGTACACGCGAGTGAGGGCGCTTGCCCGCTCGATCCCCAGCAATCGGCCCTGAAGGCGTATGCACTCCAGGAGTGCTCGCCCTGTGCGCGGCGTCCCCGCCACGGCTGGCGCCTCCCCCCATCCCGACCGATCCCCGCAATCCGGGAGAAGTGCTGCAAATCCAACCCGCTTGCCGAGCCGCCAGTTCCTGACGGACTGGTTCCCACGGATTTGTATCTGCCCTCACACTGTATCCCATTGCCATTGCCATGGCTATATGGCAATATTCTCTCTTTCGGCGCGACATTGTGTCCTGCGGTCGCTGGCGCGGTCAGCCATGTGCACGCGCCCCATGCTACGTGCAGCATGTGCCCCTCCCCCCTACTTGCGCGGTAGAGTCCTAGGAGGGTAACCCTTCCTCCGGTAGCCATGAAGGCGGGCGAGAAAGCGGAGAGTGTAGCAGACGTCCCAAACTCTGCTCTCCCAGCTCCCTTCCCCGCCGTGTGTGCCGTGCATCCGTACCTTGAGTAGTGCCACGTCATCCGGCGTGTAGTACGGGCACGAGGCGGTGTCCGCGGACGGCTGCACCTTACCGGTATACACGGGGTGGTTGTAGACCCCGTCCAGGAAAGCCACATTGAGGCCCTTGATGTTGGTCTGAGGACAAGGGTAGGGGGCCAGGAGGCAAATGGAGCGCGGAGAAGGAAGCAGACATGGTTGCAAGCAACTGCTGAGTGGATGGAGAGACGCGGATGCTCGAGAGCCGCAAGTAGCACCGCCTCGGGCTACCGTTACAATGGGTGAAAAGGGTGCAGCGCAGGACAGCGATGTGGGAGTCGTTTGGAGCCACCTGGTCAGGATAATGGGGGTGGAGGACGTGACGGGCAGTGAAGACTAGCCTCTCACCCCATACGCCCTATCCTTAAACACTACACCTACCCTGCATTGCATTCCACGCAGCTACAGGCCTGTCCTGGCGCGGCCTACCGCTGCTGGCCCAATCTGCAAAATAAACCCATATAAACCGTGTATTGCCAAGCACCGCAAATCCGCAGCCCCCAAGATATGCAAGTGCTGCAGCGTCCCCTCCAAAAAACTCCGTAGCCCTCCCCAGCAAACATCCAGCCTATCAGCCGCAGCCACATGCTAGGCTCCCATCCAGCCAACCGAAGCGTCTGCGTGCGAATGGGACACGCATCGCCACCCACCACGCCTGAGCGGCCCAAATACTTCAGAGGTGCTTTGGAAGCGGGCAAAGCCGTGAGGATTGCTGAACTGCCCGCGCCTGATGCGGGCAGGGCACGGGGAAGGGTGGGCGGGTAGCGCGAATGAGGGTCAGCATAGGGCTTAGTAAGGGGCAGGGCACAGCACCGCAGCGATGTGGGGAGTGACAGTTCGAGGGGGGATCGGTGTCGGCAGCAGTCACAGCTCTCTCCAATAAACGTGCATGTGATCTGACTGCAGTGTTGTACGGGGACACTTCCACGGGGACACTTCCCGACGCATATACTCTGTCGCATCCTGCCCCGTTCATCGTTCAATGTTTATTTGTCGAATGAAATTCCTTGATCTGGTGCTACAACCGTTGAAATCAACTGATGTGGGTTTTGGGGTTGTAGTTTTGGTGTTTGCAAGTGGGTGTGTCCTGGCACGGTGCGACCACCGGACGCACGCTACGTACCAAAGCCCCCGATGAAGTAGGTGGGTACGGGGATGCTTCCCTCTCCGGTTACGTACGCAACCAGTGCATCATTAGGCTCTGCGGCGTCATCACCTGGACCTGTTCCGGGCACGCAAAAGTGCCATTAGACACCGGACATTCCGGCGGCGTAACGTGCAAGCCTCGATCAACCTTATACCGAATACAGGTGTTCCCCCACCACTGCGTAAGTAGACAACCTACCGAAAAACTGCCCGGTACAGAGGAGCGCCTCGAAAGGACCATTCTTCTTGTTCGCAGTTTCAACTTTCTTAAACAATCCAGGAAGGTCAGCTTCAACAGCCCCCGAAAAAAGTACCTTAACCGCCGTCATAATTTTGCATGTGCAGTTGAGGTCTTGGGGGTTAATTGCAAAGCCAAATGCAACCTCAGCTAGGTTCACGCATAATCAGATACCGTCCGTGGGTATATCCTTACAATAGCGAAGCTGGGCAGATGGGCGTTAAGCTGCGCTCCAGAGCCAGTACGACATCAAAACTCGACTCCTCAGCTTCGCAAACAGCTCTGCGGCACATATGCATACGGTCATAACAAACGACGTTTTCAAATCTAGCTACGATGTCACCGCGCCCATGTTTGCACAGAGGTGTTGACCCTTGCAATTCCCAAGTTATGAAGTAGTGACGGTGAGTTCCTGACCATCAAGCTGGAGCTGGAATAGTTGAAATTTACGCAATATATTCCTTTATCGCAAGGCAAATGACTGCATCTTATCGCCTTCCTGCTGGGTCAACCTGTAGCTCACGAAGATGAGCTAGCCCAAGCCCTGATTAGTGATAGTTCGGGTTTACAAAAGTTCTATTTTATAACATGTGTATAACGTTGAACCCTTCGTCACAATTATGATGCAGAGCGAGTTCAGTCGTCGCTCAGTTCGTTGCCAGTTGCGGCGACAGCAAAATGAGGGTCAGCGAAGCGGCGCAGCAGGGCCGTCCCAAGGGCGCCGAGCGGCTTCATATTGCTTTCCATCGCCTGTTCACAGATTATGACAATGGCTCTGGGATAAGTAGCACCGGTGGGTGCCCTGGTCATCGGGGCCCTAGAAATCCGCACGTCACAGACGCAACGCCTATAACCCTTACGTTCGGTATTTTACGCAGATCATTGGGAAGTTTCAAGCCGCTATATGCTTGCGGCAGGTTCATCGCGCGCTTCTCCGCAGCCTCCGAAGGCCCCCAATTCCTTACGACGCAGTGTTCAGGGACCGAGCTCACATGAGCGCGTCGCAGCGCAGGCGGATCCTTTCGTCAGTCCATGTCGGGCAGACAGAAAAACATCTTCCGGAGCCAAATCGCCATCTAGGCCGCATAGCGTTAGCTATGCGAACCGACACATGAACCGCCCCGTCTACACAGCGGCGGGCACTTCCGCGCAGGCAGTTCCATTCACGCCATCCTTGGCCAAGTCCTCCACTTTAGGAATGCGAGCATCCGCTTCAGTATCGCCGTCTCGGCAGCGCAGGGCGCAGCAACGGCGTCAGCAGCCCCAGCATCAGGCAACGAAAGCTGTCAGCGCTAAGCCTTCCCCCATAAAGTGAGTTTGCCGAACGACAACAAGTGAAAGTGCCAGCTATGACCTTCCTATTCGGCAGTTCTTCATTCTTGAACCAGTACAGCCCACCGGGTACTCTTGCCGTACCCGCGACGTTCGTGTATCATAGCCAGTGGCACACATGGACACATACATCGTTGCACGCTGAACAAGTACATGATCCCGCCGTTGCTTGCGGACAAGCGATCCTAAGCCTATGCACAAAAAACATGTACCCGCGATTCCCCACATTTGCATCTCACGCTAATGCTGTCGCCCTACCCATCCACCGCAGGGGAACACCCGTTGGCAACACCACATCCGCTGTCATCTCGGCGCTTGCCATGGATGCCGCATTGCCCGACCTGGACGCCACCGCCAGGGCGCTCCTGGAATCCATCATGGGTAACTGCTCTTCCTCCTGTCCATCACCATCCCTGGAGTATATGGGCCCCTCGTCCGTCAACCCCGGAAAGACGCCCGCGTCGGCGCTGGCTCGTTCCCCGCTCGGACCCACAGCGAGGATTTCCGCCTCGGCTTCCCCTCACACCGTGGCCGGAGATAGCGTCAAAACGGCATCGCTGACGCAGCATCATCATCAGCGTGCGCAGGCCTTGCGACAGCAGTATCACCAGCAACAAGCGCTTGGCAGTGGGCCGTATGCCGCAGCCATGGGAGGCGCGGAAGCGGTTCCCATGGCCGCCAATGGTGGCCACGAGGGCTGCAGGCCCCGCAACTCAAGAGCATACTCGCAGTCACCGCCGCTAGCATATCATCATCAGCAACAACGGTACCCGCATTCGCAGCCATGGCTGCAGTCCTCTAAGCCGTGTCATGACATGCCCACGCAACTTGAGGCCCAAGCTCAGGCTCAGTTTGGCACCGGCGCGGCCCCTAGCTGCTGGATGGAAGGCACGGGTGGTGCGGCCGCCCTCAAGGTCAAGACACCGACCTCGCAGTCGACTCATGCGGAGCACTTCAATTCGCTACCACCGCAGCTGCAGGAGCTGCTGCGCCCGCCGACACAGCCCCAGCAGCCGGGCCCACAGTTCGGTTTGTCCATGCCTTCGGAGAACTCGTTTCTCACGAGCGGCGAGCTGGGGGCGGACGCGAAGGCGCATCCTGGCGAGGAGTCTCTGCAAGGTAAGTCCCAGCCTCTCCCCATTTTAGGCTAAGACCTCCTTAACCGCGTGTCTAGTCCTGTGGAAGGCGGGAAAGGTGGGAAGCCGATAAAGACGTATAAACAGCACACGGCTTTCCGAATGGCTTAAAAGGTGCGGCCGCCAATCCCTCTCCTAGCGCCCTTTCGTTCGTCCCTTTTCAACCAGCTCAGCGCTGGATTAGCAACACCATACCTGCTCCTCCGTCCCCGCAGCTCGCACCAGCCGCCTGCTGCAGTGTCCCAGCGATAGTTCGCCTGCTCGCCGGCCGCTCGGCAGCCTCAGCGCCATTAACATCCAGCAGTCCGCCACGGCAGCGGCGGCCGCTGTGGCCGCCAGTGGCGGCACCACCATCGGCGCCGGCACCGCGCCCGCGTCCCCCGGCAGTCGCACCCTCGTCAAGCGGCTGTGTCGTTCACACGCCGCAGGTAGCATGTCCTCTAAGCTCCTTAAGTCCCCGAAAGACGATTCGCGGCGGCCCATGACCTACGCCGAACTGCAAAGTGAGCCGTGCCTCGCGCGTGCGAAATAAGTCTCTGCTACGCAACCTGAAAAGATCTCGTTTACATACTGCTGCCTTTTGAGATGCTGCATCCGCTAGACAGCTGCCCGGCTTTTTCCCATCTCGGTGCGGACGTGGCAGATTGCACGCTTCGCGTAACAACTGCCGCTGTTCACGCCCGCTCCTGCCGCTGTTCGCTTTCCTGCCTCGCGCCTGCCCGCAGGCGCGTCAAAGGTGCACCAGAACATCAACATCACCAACAGCAATGACCAAACCTCTTCGCTGCAGCAGCACAACGAGCAGGAGCCCCTACAAGGGCTGCAGGCGTCGCTGTCGCCAACTTTTGCGGCTGCCCTCGGCCGCAAAACCCAAGGCGGCGGCCCCGGCAAAGCCACCGCCACAGCTGCGGCGAACAGCACGGACGACCGGGGTGACGCACTTGTTGACCAGGACAATGCCGCGGCCAAGGCTGAGGACGTCTGCCCATCGGGGCCCGATTGCGCGAAGGCGGACAGGCTGTCCTCGTCTTCGGCGTCCGGGCCTGCGCGCGTGACTCCTTTCGGTCACAACAGCCCTGGGCGTTTCAACGTTGCCGCCAGCCTCGTACTTCCAGAGACCATAACAGAGCGGGGCTCCACCTCAGCGATTTCAGACTCCAAGACGCCAACCGACCTACAGCAACCACTGGTGCAGCCGCTGCAGAAGGAGGTAGAAACAGAGGAGCCAGGGATAGCAGGCGCTGCGTTTGGCGATGCAGCACATACCCCGGACCAGCCAAAGACAACCCCTAGGCGTGGCGGCGGATTCTTTGGCGGCCTGTTTGCTTGCTTTGGGAAGAAAGCGAGCGGCTCTGAGAATGTCAAGATCAGCAGCAGATCGCAACCACCGCCGCCGCCTCCGTCAGCGCGGGCCAGGGGGTGGCCCGCGGCAGAACCCGTCGCTGCTCCCAGCGACGCGCAGCCGGCGCGGCCTAAATCCGAAGCCACTGGGCCAGTGGAGGCTGCAGTTGCACAATTGCTGCCGCCGGCGACGCCACCACTGGGGCCGAAATTGGATGCTCTTGAGGCCGCGGAGCCGCAACAGATCGGCATATCATTGCAGACCGACGACGCAACCATCATCCCTCCTGCACCGACGGCAACTGTCGCGGCTGTTGCAGCTGCGTTGTGCATGTCTCCGACATCGGCAGCAGCACACGTGGGTGCCGACAGCCGACTACTAATGCTCCTGGAGGCCGAGCTGGCGCGGCTAGAGCCTACGGCGTCCGCAGGAGGGACGCCGTCAGGCGGCAGCCCTGCCAACCGTGCCACCAATTCTGGTGCGCGTGGCAGCCCAAAGGGCATCCTTCAAAGTGCTCAGCAGCAGCGATCACCACTGGCGGGAGGCGTGTCTGACGGTACGTCGCATGCGTCCGCCGTTAATCGCGATGGACAGCAGCAGGGAAACCCACAAGCCACATCGCCGGCGCCAGTCCAGGCTTTGAAATCCAAGAGCGCGGCGTTGTCGGGCTTCGGCAGCCCCGACGCGCTGGCCAGCGCCACCCGCAAACCCCGCGGTCCTGTGGATCAACACCACCTGCGCTATGAGGACGGCGACTCGGTGCTCCGCGGCAGCGTTGACTTCCGCGCCTCCACCGCTGCCGTTGCCACCACCTCTTTCTCTTCAGCCGTGCCAACTTCCCGGCCACGGGCTGTCTCCGCCTTGACGGCAACCGGCTGCTCAGCGCCACGCGGTCCCCGCCAGCCACCGCATGTGTCCATGGATGCGGCCGCTGCCGTAGGCACAAGCGGAGGCGGCCGGCGCAATGGTGACGACAGGAGCAGCAATGGTGCAGCCCGCCATGCTTTCCTGGAGCCCCCGGAGTTGAGCAGCTGTGGTGCATCGGCGACGGATACACCCTCGCCACCGCAACGGCAGCAGTGTAGTTCCGGATTGGACCCCGGCCCGTCGACGCAGACACAGACGCCACCGGGCTCCAATCAGCATGGGAATCTCCAGGGCCTGGTCATGCAGCATCTGGTCAGTGGTGATGCAGGTGCGCCCAACTCCGGGAAAGGCACGCCTGATGGCGCAACCGCCGTTCCTGGACTACGGTTGTCTGGGCTGAATGCGTCAATTACGTCCAGCATACAACAGGCGCCACGCAGCAGCCGCAAGCGCAGCCGCGCAACGCACGCGAGCTTTGGCGGCGGTGCATTGTCGCAGCTGGACGCGCGGAAGCTCGCGGCTATGCCCCTCGAAGAGATGCTCGAGCGGATCCAGGCCGCTATCGTGGCGGAGGACCTGGCAGCAGGTCGCACAATCCAGCAAGATGGCACTAGCATTGGATTGTCGGATGGCGGCGCGATCCTGCCGATGCCGCCAGTGGTGGCTAAGGCGCGGTTGGGCCAGCTTCGGCGGCGCAAGTCCACCGCCGGGGGCCGTGTGGGGGGTGCCGGGCTCCACAGCGGCGGCGGCGGCGGTGGCAACCCATCGCGTGGAGGACGCAGCAGCGACGGAGGCACGCGAGGCGGCGCTACAGGTGTTGGCGTGCAGGCGACGTTAATGAAGGCTGCCGCGGTGGCGGCAGGTGCCGGCCGCCGCCGCCGGCGCGTTAAAAATCGTTCGCCAACAGCTGCACGCAGGAGACAAATGCAGGCGCAGAACGCCATCCCACCGACAATGTCATTCACGTACGTTTATGGCAATCAGCCGTTAGCACCGGTTTCGCCTAACGGCCGCAAGAGCGACGGCGCCGGAACCTATGGCCAGCCCGTATGGCGCCACGGTGGCCGTGCGCTTGCATTCAGCGGGTTCGGCTTTGCCGGCAGCACTTCTGGCGCCACCACCTCTCCTCGCTCCAGCTGCTATGACCCTACCTTTACGCGGGCGCCACCGTACAAGAAGCCTCCTATGAGCACACCCGGTGCACCGTCATCGTCGTCAGTACCACTAGGCTTCGGAGCTACCACCTTTCACGGCCCCGGCACTGGTGGCGGCGCTGGCGGCAGCCCGCCTCGACTGCGTCCGTCTGCACCGTCGGCGCCTACACCGCTTATGATTGCCGTTACCAAGAGCCCGATGCTGTCTAAGACGCCGAGCAGTGGAAACGCCAACGTGCGCACCTCCCAGAAGGCCCTTGACGGTGATGATGCCACGGCGTTACGTTCCGCGTTGCTGACATCATCCAGCGGTCCCAAGGGTGCAATGTTAGTAGCAAGCACCGCTGGCGCCCCCAAGAAACCCAACGCCGCTGCGCCCGTCACCAGCTCCCTGAACATCTCGGACCTGTTATCGCGTTACAATATCCACAGCCTAGCCATGTCGGCTGGTGGCGCACTGCAGGCGGCCTCATCTGGGAATCGGTTGGATGCAGGCCGTGGTTCGCCAGCCGTCTTTGGGCATGTGAAAAGCTTCCCAGGCAGCCAACAGCAACAGCGGCAGCAACTGGATCGGGACAGCGACTGTGCTGCCTGTCGCGGCGCCACCACGGGAGGTGGCCTTCAAACGGCGTCACCTGCAGCCGCCACGGCCGCAGAGCCCATGTGTTCACCGCCTCAATCCGCCGAGGGATCTGAGAGGACGACGCCAGTGACCAGGCGGTCACATGAGGGGCTCGCCGAGGATGATGGCTTGCTCGGCGGGGACGACTCAGTCACAAACAAGCCGCGGATTGCGTCGGTCAGCCTGACGGAGCTTTTCCAGCAAGCGTCGGGACTGGAAAAGGACCGCCGGTCGTTGTTAGGCTGCGGTAGTGGCAGGGGCAGCACTGGCGGCAACCACGTCCCAGAGGCCACCGAAGAGGAGATGGCGGACATGGTGACGGCTGCTCCGGAGCGGGCCCCTCTCGACACCATTGCAGAAACATTATCAGCATCACAGGCTCCTCCAGTCGCTGCCGCTGCTACGATTTCTTCTAGCTCTAGCATCGTTAGCTCACCCAGCATTCTACGCAGGTACGAGCAGCGCACGTCGAAGGTTGCAGCTTTGCAGCGTCCTTTAGTCGGCACCAGTCCTTCCGGCGGCGGCTTTGAAGAGCAGTCGTCAGAGTCGGCACGTGGCCCCGCGGGGTATCTGGAATTGCTCCAAGTTTACGGTCAGGCCAGTAGCGCACGTGCTGTGGCTCTGCCGCATTACGCAATGCCGATCATGTCCAGGGCAACGAGCGCTGGCGGCGGCGGCGGCAGGACGTCGTTGACAGCAGAAACTACCAGTGTTGAGAGTCCCGCTCGTTCGCCGGTAGGCCGGCCGTCAGCGCTCAGCGCCGGAGGACGGTCGTCGCAGGTGATGGGCAGCTACGCCCAGATAGCAGTCCTGCGCTCCCTTACCTCGGGCGCCTCCCGCATCATAAGCACCATAGCCGGGAAGGCACCGCAGCAGCCAGCAGGGCTACCGGTTCCTAATGACGTCGCCAAAGCCCCAGCGACCGCTCGAATGTTTCACGGAATCGCCCTCCCAGATGCAGCCAGCGCCACTGGCAGCCCGACCTTTGGGTTGCCGGAGACGCTGCCTTCCCCCAGCACCTCCAGCGTAGTGGCCCAGATGCCAAGCGCTATGAACACATCTGACTCCGATGGCTTGACGTCCACGGCGGCTGTGCGCAGCTGTGGTGTACGGCAGCTCGAGGATACTGCCGACAGCGGGGTGGCCGGCTCTAGGCAGTCACAGCGCAGGCTGAAGGCAGTGACTGGTGCCAGTGCCGGTGACGTAATGGCACGTGGCGGCTCTGGCCGCCTGGAGCAAATACCCCGCGGAGAGGAGGCGGCAGATGGGGAGGAAGTGGTCACGGCCCCTGCTGCCGGCACCGGCAGCGAACTATTAACAGATCAGAGCGAACAGGAGGTAGCAGCGAAAGTCGCGGAGGAGGAGGTGATAATGGCCAATGACAGCGGCGAATCCGGTAGCCTGGCGCCAGAGCAGTACGAGGGGATGAAGGCAACGAAGCACGCCGAGGAGGTTGAGGTGGTCACGGTCCTTTCTGGCACATCTAGCGACCTGACACAAGGCCAGAGCGATCAGGACGCAGCAGCTCAGGTCGCAGGGTGCAAGATGGTGACGGTCCATGGCGCCTGTAGCTCCTGCAGCTCGCTGCCAGGTCCAGTCGAACACGAGGCAAGGGTCAGTGAGGCAGAGAGGGCTGCTGAGGGTATGAAAGAGGAGGCGGAAGGGAGAGAGGACAGCAGGGCTACGGCAGATACAAACCTGCTCAAAGCAGCTGCGGGGTCACAGCCTATCTCTGGAACGGAAATGGCGGCTGTGCCGCCAACTTCACTGCAACTTGAGCAGCAGGTGGCTGGTCGGGTCTCGCCGCTGCAGCTGGAGCTGCCCTCCACACCTCGGTCGTCTGACTCACCCTTTGCGGATTGGCGGTGCGTGCCCTTGGAAGCGTACGATGCGGCGCTCGAAGGTTACGACAGCTTCTTGGTCGCACCTACAACGTCAGGCGGAAAGCACATGAATGAGTAGTTTTGAAAGTTTTCGCATGCCGCGCTAATGCACTGAATTCGAGGATTTCCCGTACATGGCGGCACTTGGGGACAGCCAGAGGGTACATGTGCCCATAGTAGTAAATTGCGGGTAAAGAGGGGCCGGGCTGTTGGCAAATGAGCAACGGCTAAGGTATGGACCAGTTTGAGGAGCCATTTTACCATAGACCGGGGGCCCACAGTCGGGCAGCAAAATGGCGATCATCCCCGCCACGTAACATGCACTTGAAAAGCAGGTGCCGGAGCGGAAACGCTTGTATGACGTTGCGTATATCGGTCAGTTGAGAATGTACAGGTAGAGCGCTGGAAAAGCGTGAGTGTGCTTGTGCATGCCGAGTAGGTCCACAGTGTCAAAGCCAGTGCATCATCATCCTGCTATTGCTGCCATTGCGGGCGTATGACCATCGACTGAGCACGCAATAACCAGGATAAATGTCTTGGACGTGAATAGGGCATTTGGTTTAGCGGCTTAGTCTTGAGTAGGCAAGATCAACAACCCCCTTGTGAAGGGAAGAGCCTGCACAACGTCGTGAACGCTCAGGTCACATGTGGGCCTTGGTTTTGGGAGGCCCCTGGACCATAGCAGATGCCCAATGGTTAACGCGCCCCTAGGGCACTGTACGTGAATAAATCATGTAGTACCCATGCATCATTACTAGATGGCGGTTGGGGAAGACCAGCATGTATGAGGCTTAATAAGTAGGGTTCAGCTGCCGGAGAATTGAACCTAACACGCATGACGCGATCCAAGAGATGATACGATTCGTAGGCAAGCGGTATGGTGGCGTAGCTTGTCTTACAGGACCGCATATTCCTGATAAGGCGTCCAGGTCAGGGGTTACACCAGCGTACATACCAGCGTGTGTAAAAGCTGCCTAATCCGTCACACGATGGGTGCGATGCCGACCCCCTGTTCATCGCTTTCCACAGAATCAATAGTAACAATGTTGTAATGCTTTGCACTAGACAGCAACGTCTCAACCCCGCAGTATATTTTCGCTTTTCACAAAGTGCACGAGGCGTTTGTGAAGCGGCCCTCGACTTCAGTCACCGCCAATCTATCAGGCGGGATCTAACACCCGTCATTCACCACAAAACAGTGGGAATCTCCAGAAAATGGAAAATTAACAAAAAGATTATACGCGAAGCTAACGACTAAGGGGACTGTCCCAGGACACTGTCCGACATTCTTTCGCGCCCAAGACTTCGTAAGTGCTCTGTGCGTGCCCATACACATAAGTCGTCGTACGGGGAAGTGCCACCGGAAACGCAGAGCACGGTGGCTACTGTGAAGAGTCGCTAAAACCACTCACGTTACGGAGAGTTGCCTCCATGTCCTGACAGTACTGTGCCCTCAATGGACGAGCGCGCGCTCGAAAGTAATAGTCAGGCAGCAGGCAAAATCAGTATCTTCCCTCTTCGCGAACCCATACAGTAACTATTCCACGCCTACGGTAGCCAACAGCACCGTGGCAAAGTGGTCCGCAACGCTTGTGAGGAGCGACGCGCTGCCGTAAGCGCATATGCAATGCCGCACCAAACAGCAAACCCAGCCCACCCTATTGAGCTCTCTAAATACCACGGCCCGTCATGTCCATGCCGTACTCCTAGTCTAGCCATCGGTTAAGTTTCTCACCACTACGACATTCGATGCGTTGCAGTTTAAGATACGTTTCCTAGGCATGCCTTCAGGCGTGTTGTTGCCCATTACCTAATACCAAGCGGCCTAAAACCGGCGAGGCCGCTGCAAGGGACCTCCCTGCATGAGCCACAGAGAACTGCCATTACAGCAGTTATAGGCAAACATCCCTACGGGTATCACACCTTGTAGCAGTCAATGCTTTTCGGCCGTGAATGTGCACCTATGGTTGGCAAAACGTACAACGGTGGTCGGCACGACGCAGTACATCTAGCTCATTTTCGCGTTATGGCCTGGTGCACGCGTTCCCGCATTTCGCTTTCCCCGGCTTCTTTAGTGTCAGTGGCTTGCAGTTCGGCGCCAAGCCCATCCAAGTAAGATTTCAGGAAGTCCTTGGTAGACGCGTACATCATCTTGTGCTTGGTCGTGGAGCTGTCCGGTGCCCTGGGGGATTACAAAGCCACATGGGTTCGTTACATCAGCATGCTCGCTAGCATGCGGGCATGTGCTTGCCTACAGCAAGCTTACATGTTTTCCTTTGTTTCAGTGTGCCTGGCTATTGCCGAGGTGTTGTTTCTATCCTTCGCATCGTTTTGTCTTTGTAAAAGCGAGGCCTTCGTAGGCCAGCCCCTCTCATAACACCCCTGCCTCGAGCATGCCTGTATCGGTGGGAAGAGCGACCAACACATGTCAACAAGGCCCTCTAACATCACTTACCAATGAACAAAGACAAGCTTGTTGATTGTCTGGTTCGTGTCAGCATTTTGGTATGCGTAGTCATAGACTGCAGTTTCGGCGAATCATCAGACATTCAGAGGAGCAAACGACACAGTACACATGAACATAGCATGCACATGGACGCAGCATTTGCAGCAACGCATACTTCTTTCCGGGAAAAACGCTTGATGCTAAACGTTACGGCTCAACAACGTAACGGCTCAACAAGCAATAGGCCACCGGGACAAGGGCACGCATAGTCTGTGCTATGCCAAACAGGCACGTGAAATCAGGCAATTGTCCATGGTCCAGGCCCAGGCACGTGACGAAAGAGGACCCAGTATGCGCTCACCAGCGTATCTGCAGTTGTTCTCAGGAAGGATGTTCACAAACTGCTCGTACGTTGCGTCGGCACCTCCGAGCTGGTCAACGACGACCTGATAATAGGAGTGCCGGCCGGACGTCAGCTACAATTTACCTGGCTATAATAGGATCATATACCCGTAGAGGCGCGAATCATTCGGACCCAAAACGAACAGAGGAAGGCACTTACCTCATTTCCGGCATCATTAACCTTGAAGGTTACCCACTTGTACTGCGAGAATGAGATCAACCAGGGTGAGATATGGGGTTTACGCACTGTACTAGCCACGACCACTTAACCAGCACTGTCCGATGGACCCAGCAAACCTCAGACAGTAAGCCGTACAGAAACGTTCCACTGCAAGTCCCTGCCGCGCGCTGCATACACACACTTACAGCCGACTTGGTCTTGATGTGGTTAAAAATAGCAATACACTGTTCGTTGACGCAGATGCCGGACATGGAGGTCTGGCAAGGCAGGAGATAACAGTAAGGCGCATGCAGATTTAGTGCGGTGGTGCACGAGATGAAACCTTGGTTAGGGTGGAGCTGTACCAACGGAGTGATGTAAAGGGGAGTACAGTTCACGGAAAACTCTGTCAAGCTTAGTAAAAATTTAGACCCGCCGCGAGATGGCGCGACGGAAGAACTTCAAACGACAGGGCATCCATGGCCAGGACAGAGACCAACTGCGCACCTTGTTCGGCGCCATAGCAGCGGTGCGGGGCCCGCGCGATGACGGTAGGTCCGTCGGAATGGGAACTGTGCCTGAGCCACCAAGAATATGCTGGCCGCTGTTTGTTCGGGACCCCAGTCCAGAAGGTGGGGGGCCAGGGTGCGGCGCCGATGGTCCTGTGGTTTGCGCCGCCGTGGGAGACTCGCGCAACTGTGGCGTTGAAATCTTATGAGGAAGCGTACTTGACGGCTGTGGGAAACGGGCAACGATAGATGGAAGCGGCTGAGCTGCTGCTTGCACTTGCGCGCCTTTAGGACTGCCGGGCCTCGACTGTTGCCCTGCGCTCGCTGGGTTTCCAACGAGTGCGAAGTCGAGAGAGTGAAGGAAAGAATCACGAGCTTGCACATAGTCGTCCTCCTTTATAAATCCGGCATCCAACCCCGCCTTGATCTGCTGCGCGCGAAGGAATGCTTTCTTGATAAAGTCATAGTCGTCCGGGTTCACAAGCCCTTCATCAAGAGCTTGCTTAGCTGTCCTTAAAACGGCCAAATCTGCCATGCGAGCTTCAGGTATGAAAATTCAGTTGAAATACGTTTGTCTTCCCAACCACGTATGCTCAGTCTACTTAAAAAGTAAGTCAATCCGCGTCAATAATTCATTGTTATGACAGTAATTACAGGAGTGCTATCTCTGCTTTGACCGAGTACAGCTCCTTATACGGCATTTAAGCACACGCGACAGCAATCCGCCCACCTTTGCTGTTATGCGATTGTAATCTTGTTTGAACGTGATGCTCTAAATAATATTATAACCTTAAACGCATGCGCAAACCTATTTTGTGGAGTAGCAACCGTTGCTCGTCTACCGTTGCCCTGACCTGGTTAGAGCCCTGGACAAGTTTTTCTGTGTCGGCTGGAAAAGCCCTGCAAAAATTCTCAGCTTACTTCAGCAGCTTAAGCAAAACCCGGCAGGCAGCCAACTTGTTTAAAACTCAGCAGGCGAATGTCGCGCTGATACTGGTGCGTCAGTGCTTTTAAACGAGTGAAGAATGCTTACACATGTCAGCCATGAAACAGCCTTAATGCTGCAGTATTTCCGCCAGCATGGCATTGCCGTACGCCTCTCGTGCGCGACATTTTCGAGTTGCCAGCCTTCCACCACAGGGGAAATACATCGGGTCGTGTGTATCCCTGCATGTTGACCGGGGCTGGCAACGCCCTGGATTCTCCCAGAGACCGGGGGCAACCCCGAAAACGGTACCCATAGCGTGGCCGCGGTCTGTTCGTACGCGTTGTTGCGGATACTTTGGCGTGTAAAGGCCTGCTTTCCCACATCGCGGTAGCACGGCCGGGCTCTCCGTCAGGCATTATGATTATATCCTGAGGGAGTGGCGGCGGCGATGAAAGCGTGTAACCATTTACAACCTGACCATCGCGGGCGAAAGTGCGCAAGCAAGCGCCGTGTATTACAAGGTTCACACGTACGGAAGTCAAAACCATCCAGCGGCGCTTTTCAGCGGCGCTTGCACCGCCTCAGTAGTTTCGTCCTGTAAGCGCAAGAATTTCCTCGACCAAAACAGCAGCAGGACCAAGTAGGACCACTCAAACAACAGAGGCTGTAAATCAATACCCAAGCCTAAATAGCACAACACCACCGGTCTACATATACTATTCCGCCGCTCTGAAGCTAGGGGACCCACGTCGACCCGCTGGCCCATCGCTGGGGCCCATGCCCTCCTGAGGCATAAACAAAAGACGACAGCCTGCGTTCCCCTCCCCAACCTGGCCCCAGCACCCTTAATCGCGTGCAATCGCAAGAACTAAATAGCTACGAGCATGGGTCGCCTGTTGTGGCATACACTGCCACGCGGCCAAATGGGATGACGCAAGTGGGGCTGCAGTTGGCGATAACACGGCGGCCCACAAGCGCCCCCATGTCAGAGACACCCCAGTGGGCCTAAGCGCCTTTACCCGCTATCCACCATACATGAATTTGGCCTAGAGTCCCATGGGGCATGCCGGTACGAGCTCGGCACAACAATCGTCAGGCTGCGACCACCCCCCTTCACGCCTCGCACGTTCGCGCGCCGATATCCAAGGCCACATTGACTCCGATACAAAGCCGAAAATAGTAAACAGTATATAAGACCGTCGCCGTCATTTATTACCCCCACACACACTGTTAAGTTTACCTATTTCAACTATTTCTTCAACTTCGCAATCAATGTACACCGTGCCGAGAAGGTACTGGTTGGATGTGGAGAATCATGATGCGCATCTGTAGAGGGGAAGCTAACGTCGAAGAAATAGATGAACTACTGGACCCAGCCTCAGCTCTTCCTACGGGGGATTGTTCCTACCGAGACCCTGTTGCTGGGGAGGCGCCCCCCTGCCCGCCGCTGTATTCAGCCGCCCCGGCCCGAGGCCCCCTCGATGTCGGCCGCGTTCCAGCTTCCAGCGCCGAATGTCCGCCATCAGGCCTCCCAGGTCAGCGCTCACTGCCGGCGGCGGCGCTATCGCCAAGCCGTCCCGCTGCCCAGACGGCCCCATGGTAGCCGCAGCCGTAGACGGAGCCGGAGAGGTCGGCCGAGCACCCCCTCCACCACAAGCACTCATTGCGGCCCCAAGCAGCTGGCCCTGCCCCTGACTCGTACTCGGAGGCAGCGGAGGCAGCGACGTGCTGCTGTTGGAGTGGGCTGGCGGCGTGGAAGGCTTCTCGTCCAAAGGGACGTAGTAACAAGCGCCGCTGCCGGCATGCAGCCCCTCCTCCAGCTCAGTCGCGGCCCAGGGATCCTCGGAACCGTCGCCGCCTATGCCGTCGTCGCCGCCGGTGCCGACGCCAAAGGTGACTGATGTGGAGCTGTTGGGGGCATTGTTGTACGACGGCGTCCGTGACACACGGGCGCTTGACGGCTGGGAGTTGCTGCCCGTGTGCCGCCGGCCGGCCCCCAGCGGTGAACCAGATGAAGCTGCACTGCAGGCGGTACCCGCCGCCGCTGCTGCAAGTGCGGCAGCGGCCGCCGTCGCAGTGCCAGCTCCTGCAACCGATTTTGGCGTCGGCAGCCCCGTCGGCGGTGTGCTGTTCTGCAGCCGCGGCAAGAGGGGCGAACTGACGGCGTTGCCGGCGTGGCGATTGGTTATCCCCAGCCGACTCACAATGCCGGCATCGCTGCCTGGATGGCCCGTGTCGCCCTCGTAAACCTCGTTGGAACCGCCGCCGAAGCCCCCGGTCCCCGATGCGCAACACAACGGCGGTCCTCCCACGCCTATCCCGGTAAGCGACTGGTGACGGCAGCCACCTACACCTACACCTTGCAGCGGCCCAGGCTGCCCTGCCAGGCAGCCGTAACCCGTTGGGCCGCCTATGGTCGACTGTGAGACATGGAAGACGCGATGCGACAACGACCGGAGATGTGGGGCCGTTGTGTACGGCATCGCCGGCGGCGTGCCGCTGCTTAGCGGCGCCTGGTCGTACGAGTCAGCCATGGGGAGTAGTGGCGAGTTGTGGGGCGATAGGGACTGGTGGCTGTAGCTACCTAAGCCCTGGTGGACGTGTTGGCCGGCCGCTGGGGGCGTGGTGGCGTCGTCGCCAGCGGATGCGCTGTCCATGGCGACGGATGGCACGCCGCCGGCGCTGCCGCCTCTTGCCGGACCCTGCTGACGGCGGTACAGACCAGAAGTATTGACGGGCGGCAGTAGCACGTTGCCGTCTCCCGATGGGGCCCCCTGGGGCGACGGCACCCGCAACCCTGGCTGCAGGTAGATGCCCTGGCGGGCATCCGGCATCGGCACCTCTGCCGCCGCCAATAGCGCCGAGGGAGGCGCCCCCGGCGCCCCCGACAACAATCCCAAAGCGAGTGCCGACGGCGCCGAAACTGAGGCCCCCAGGCCCCCGGCACTGGACGCCCGGGGCCATACGTCCGGACGTAGCGGTGCCAAGCTGACGCGGGTGCCGCCGCCGTACAGAACCGCAGCCGAAGCGCCCTGCAGCTGCAGGGAATGGAGCGGCAGTGGCTGCGGCAGCAGCCGCGGCGGCGAGGCGCCGGTTGTGCAGGGCTCCGTGTCGACAGCAGTCCCGGTGGCCGCAGCGGCGCTGCAGCTGCTGTTGCTGTTGCGCGTCGTGCGCAGGGGTGCCAAGCCGCGTATGCCGCCACCTGCTCCGGGAGCCATCGCGGATATAGCCACCAGCGGATCCGGTGGACCCAGACGACGTCGCGTAGACTCGGTAGCAGATAGCGCCGCTCCCGCCCCCGTGAGGCCTGATGGATCTGACTCCTCGCCAGGGAGACTCCGGTCCAGAGATGGCCGGAAGATAGCCACGGCTGCGGCGCTGCCACCACTGCAGCTACTGCCGCCACCGGCAACGGTGGCTTGCGGCTGTGAGGTAGGACGAAGGTGGCGCAGCCGGTCCGGACTGCTGAATTCCGCGCCGCCGGGCGGTGACAGCGACAGCGGCGGGGGTAGCGGCGCGGGCAGCGGTGCCGCTACCAACGACGGAGAGGTGGGCGGTGAGGTAAAACGATACGGCGCATTCAGCCCACGTGGGAGCTGGCGGGGAATGTCCAGTACGGGTTGCAGCAGGCGGCGGTCCGGGCCAGGAGAGGTCTCATCCCCCTCTGTGTCATCCGCCGCCACGCTGGTACCCGCGACGGTATCAAGGAGGCCCCGCTCCTCAGTAAACCCCCGAAGACTCCCTCCACTGCCGTCCGCCGCCTCCACCGGCTCCTCCGCCAGGCTATCCAGCAGCGGTGGCGGCGGCGGCGGCGCCTGGGTCAGCGACGCAGCAGCGGAGATACCGCCCTCTACTGCGGCTCCAAAACTCAGGCTGCTGCTGGTGCCGGTGTCCGTCCGTAACGAGGAACTGCTGCGACTCGGCGCGCCCTGTGGCGGTGGCGGAACAGCCGGCACCGCTGCCTCTGAAGGCATTTCAACCCTGGGCTCCCGTCCCTCCGCCGCCGCGTCAGCAGCGGGACCGTCGTCGTCTCGTTCGCCGTCGCCGGCGTCCTTCTCGTCATCCTCGGCTTCGCCGCCTTGCTGCAGCAGCGTCAGCGACCAGATGCGGTCCATGACCCGCCGCATAGCGCCCTCGTCCTTCTCGTCCCAAACCGCCCGCAACTCCTGCTCTAGATCATGGAACGACCGGGCCAGCACCTGCTGGTCCGGCAGCGGGCCCCGCCCTTGCCGTGCAGACCGCGCACGCACCTGAAGCTGCTGCTGCCGTGTGCGCCGCTCCATCGTGGCGCTGCTGCCCAATGATGCACGCATACTGACGGAGCGCCGGCGGGACTGCGAACCGTCCCGTGGGTCATAGGCGGCCGCCTTGTCCAGCTGCAGCCGCATGGAATCACGCAAGTGGACTGGGCCAGCGGCGGCGGCTCCGCTGCCGCCGTCCTGGGCCCCATCGCTGGCGCCCTCGTCGCTGTCGTCCTCTGACGCTTTCAACCGCGAGGATTGGTCTGGCCGCGACAGGGTGAAGCCCAGTGAACGCAGCGGAGCAGCGGATTGTGGCTGGATTGCCGCTGCCGACGATGTCTCATCACCCGGCAATAGAATGGCGTGAGAGTGGTCGCCTTCAGCCACCTCCCGGCACTCAGAGGCAGCCACCACCTCCTCCTCCTCGTTCCGTCGCACTTCCCCAGCGGCAAACTCCTCCTCCACCATCTCCTCAGCGAGGTCAGCTTCCTCCTCCACCTCCTCTTCGTCCTCGTCCTCCTCTTCGTCCCCTGCTTCACTTTCCTCCTGCTCGCTGTCGTCTTCATTCTCCATGTCCTCGTCATCCTCTTCTTCCTCCTCCTCTTCTTCTTCCTCCTCCTCCTCCTCGCTGTCCTCCTCGTCATCGTCGTCATCGTCCTCCTCGTAGTCGTCACCAGTGGCGCTGGACGACGGCTCGCTTGCCATCACTTCCAAATCTGACTTGCCATGATCCGCAAGGTCGGCATTCACTGCCGGCCCTCGTGGCGCCGTGGAGCTGCCATGTACGACAGCTGGGGTCCCGGCCGTTGGGTAGGATCCAACGTCGCTGGGCTCCTGCACAATGAGCTCTATAGGGAGCGGCGCCACGAACGCAGTGCCGCTGGGCTGCGGCAATAGTGGGGACGGGGACGGCGGACCTGCCGCCACCGCTGATCCAGCGCTGCCAGGCCTGCGGCCGCCTCCGTCGCCAGCGCCGCTTCCGAACCCTAGCATGCCGTCAGCAGCGCCAATGCCGTGCAGCAAACATTCGCCCGGCGCACCCTCGACAATGGAGCGGACTGCGGTGGCGGCGCGCTGCAGCGGCATCACACCCGGCGGTGGCGCCTCGGGTTGCATGGGGAGTGAAGCATTAGTGGTGTGCATAACCGCCGACGCCCCGCTGCCACCGTCGCCGTTGCCGCAGATGTCGCCGCTTTCTTCCACCATGCCCGTTGCAAGCTCAGCTAGCTGGGCAGTACCCCAGGTGCGGGCCATGGCGACGTCAGCCGTATCTAAGGCCTCCAGCATGACGTTGGCATCCAGGGTGCCGTCTACTTCTACCGGCGCTTCCGCCTCCACGGCTGGTGAAGAGCCTTCCTCGGACTCCACTTGCTGCCGCTGAACGGTGTGTGGCGAGGGTGAGGTCTGACCTGCTCGCTGCTCTCCATGCGCCTCGTCCGGTGGTTGCAGCTCTCCGCGTGTCTGATCGACCCGTAGCTCAGCCACCTGAGCCTGCTGCTGCTGCTGCTGCTCCTCCTCCTCGGCAGGTTGCCTCAGGTGCTGCTGCAGGAGCGGCTGTGTGTGCGCCGCAAAGTGAGCTTGTTCCCCCAAGCCTTCACCTGCGGCGGAAGGCCCGCCGTCGCCAGGTGTTACAACGCTGGGGCCCTCAGCAGCGCTGTCCCCCTGGCATGACCCCGGGTCGGCGGAACTCGATATCGCTTCTGGCCTTCCTGCCACCCCTCCTGATGTCGGCTCATCTGCCACCATCGCCACCACGGTTGGGGTTGTCGGCAATGCCGAGGTGGTTGATCTGGTCGTACTGGCCGCCCGCGCTGAAGAGCTGGTTGTGGCGTACAACTCCCTGCCCGCCAGTGACGTCATCGCTTCGTGCCACTCCGCGGAGCCGTTGAGTACTGCAGTGATGATGTGTTGGTTGATTATGTTATTGGGAAGTTTGTTGTTTTGGGGCAAGGACCCAAAGAAGGATGAGGGAAAAGTAGCGTTGCTTTGGGTATGGGGCAGGGATAAGGCCCCGACAAGATTTTGGAACCAGCCAGCAGGGGCCTTTCAGCAACAAAACGACTTGTGTGCTTTGCGTCATGGCAAAGGTCACTGGCGATAAAGAGGACATCCCATGTGGACGAGAAGGAGCAGCATGTCACCGATGAGGATGTCCACACGTGTGTGGCGATTGGGGAGGTGAGTGGACCAAATGCGCGCCGAGGGCTGACTGGCCATCTATCTTGTGGACCCCAACCCCGGACCCATTAAACGTCACCCGGAGCCGATCCACCAGCCGACAATCCGTGCCCCGCACCCCTTGCATTACCCACATGCACTTTCACGCTGCCGCTCCTCCTCCGCCAGACTGTCAATCAGCGCCTGGTCCAGAAGCTCCCGGCCAATATCCGAAACAAGATGCAGCTCCGCCCCTGTCGCCATAACCGCCTGCACATTCGCCACGACCGCAGCTGTGCCGGGGCCGCCTGACCTGCCGGCAGGCACGGCTTCATCGCGGTCGCCAGCGTGCGCGTCCCCCTCGCCGCCAGGGATGTCACCGCCGGCCTGCGCAGCGCCGCCAGCCGGCCTCGTTCTGGCAGCTGCGTAACTATCGTATTGCTCGTCTTCATCGTACTGCTCGTCATCCTCTTCGTCATGTCCGTACGCAAGGCCGTACTCCTCCGTGATGTCCACATCCAGTTCCTCCTCATCCTGGTAGTACTGGCCGTCCGCCTCCTCGCTGTCGCCGCCGTCCAGGCCTGCAGCGCAACAAGGGGGCACATGCACGGACCCGGCCGCAGAGCGCAGACCCAAGCCCCAGCTCCCAACATAACCACAAGGGCCACGACAAAGGGGCCAGGACTGTAGCGGGGAAAGGGACGAGTGATGCACACCTGGGCACGGGACAGGCTGCCAGGGCCCGTTCCGCAGTACAGCAGCCGCGTCCGCACCCTACACGCCAGCTTATCACACCTTCTCCTCCGCTTCATACCTTTGCCTCATACCTCTTCCCCGATTCAACCTGCTATCCGCGACGACGCAGACCGCCTACAACATGAGCAGCTGCTCCCAGCAACCCCCCACCTGCCAACCTCCGACGTGTGCACTGCCGGCCTCTACCGATGAACAACGCACCTGAGGAGAGAGGTCCCGGTAGGAGCTGTCCCGCCGCGTCTCCGGCCGCCCCAGGTGATGTGAGCCCTGCCCGGGTGCGCCGCAGCCTGTGGCGGGTTCGGAACGCCGCCAGCTCGTCCCCGAGCACCAGGTTGGGGTCTGTAAGGCGCTCTCCTAGGATTTCCTGCTCTGCAACCTGAGCAACCCAGCCCAGCCCGGCAGGGAGCAAACGGTGAGGATGGGCGATTGGGAAAAGGACGTGCGGCTTAGTCAGGGTGGGGATGGGAATGTCCCATGCAGACCACCTTTTCATGCCGATGCGCGCTGTGGTTACGTGGAAAGGGGTTACGGTGCTATCTGCACACAGAGTTTCCCGTCCTCAACTCCATGTGCGGCGTACACCATGACAAAGCAATTGGCGATCAACTGGAGCCCTAAACCTTGGGGTTCCAAGCAGGCTACCGACCAGAATCGTGCCAGGAAGAAAGATGCGGCAGCAAACATCACAGAGGCACATATAGCGTCCGAAAATAGGGCCCCGGGAAATAGCCGCCCTGCAACACGCAGGCCAAAACAACCCCACCTGCGCCTGCTTGCGCTCCCTCCGGGCGAGCAGCTCCTGACGCAACGCCTCCAGCTCCGCCTCGCGCGCCCGAACCGCAGGATCCCGCTCGCGCCGGTGTTGCCGTACCTGCCGTACAGCCCACGAGGAGGACAACCTTGCACCATAACCATGATCACAACAGCAGATGTGCAGAATGTGTGACGATCCCAGGCATGACACGCGTGTGACAATATGCTACGTGCCATAAAGCGAATTGTGCTGACACGGGTGTCGTGCAAAGGGCGGAGGTGCACCGCCGCAGCTCACCTGCTCCCGAGTGATGCGCTGTTCGAACTCCCGGGCGCGGAACCGCATCTCCACCTGCTGCTGCCGTCGCGCCTCGTACCGCGCGCCGCTGTCCCATTGCAACACGCTCTTAGAGCGCGGGCCCCCGCCGGCCCCACCACCTGAACCACCGCCGGCAGGCCCCCCCGCCGCCGGGCCGCCGCGTGGGCTGTTGAGCCGTACACCGGCGGTGTTGGGGGCGCCGGCACCGCCGGTAGAGAAAGGCCGTGGGCCGCCCGCCAGGTCGTCAACAGCGGCGGTGGTGGCATTAGCGCCGCGTCTTTTCTTGCCGCCGCATGCTCGCTCCAGTCGCTTGACTGCGGAGCGGGCCTCGCTGGGCTTCACCTTGGGGGGCATCGCCGAGGGGCGGTCTGCGAAGCAAGCACCAAAAAGAGCAGGACAGGATAATGGTGAGGATGGTGCGGACCTACCCCGCTGGACCCTTCCCTACAACTTGATTGCCTCCCTGTATCGCACCACCCTCCCCCCCCCCCCCCCACACACACACACCCGGCTGCCCGGCGGTGGCGACTTTGCGGGCGCTGATGTCCAGCAGCCGCTTGAGGTGGCGGCGAACGAAGGGTTGCGACAGGAGGTCCTGAGGAGATATCAGGTGGGCCGTCGGTAGGGTGGAGCTTAGGGTTGTTAGTCGCCGAAACCGGGTCGGGTCGCGGAGAGCCGGGGGGTCTGGCGAATATTGCGAGCCTGTGAAGGGCTCTCGCGCGCCTGAGTGAGGCCAATATATACATACATACACACGTACGCTGCTGGCTATTTTTTTCGGTGAAGTTGCTCGTGTGCCATCCCCTGGCCATGCCCTTACCGCGGCCCAGTTCAAGAAGCCCACACACATGCCACAGCTTAGCTGGGCTCTACCCAGTTACAACATAACAAGCAGCAGCAGCAGCAGCCACATCCGGTTAGAGGTCCCCGCCCACGCACCTGTGTGGTTGGTCTGTCCTCCGGGTCCGCCCTTAGCATGCTGTTGACCAGCTGCTGGAAAGGCCGGCTGAACTGGGTGGGCAGAGGGTCGTACGCCACTCGGAGGATCTTGAACTGCGGGACAGCGGCGGCAGGGGGTTCCAGCGGCGGTTACAACAAGCACATGCGCTCCCAACAGAGAGGCGCTGGTGGGATGGCCGGCAAGGGAGTCGATTGATGGTAGAGGAGGGCATATCCGGAGCTGGCTTCTTACGAAGCCGTGCTGCTGTGCCAAACGGTGTGCAGCTTAGCGGTCACTGGCGGGCAAAGGCACACGACGCAGACCTCGCACTTGTCGTATTGGCCTACCATGAGCTGCGGCAGCCCGAGCGCCTCGAAAGCCGTACGACGCGCCGCCATCTCGTACAGCACGCATCCCAATGACCAGATATCTGCGGGGCGGTGGATGGGCTCACTGGTTGACCACCAAGGACTTCAAACTAGAGCTGGGCAGCTAAAAAGGGGACGGCCGTGGTAGGCGGACGGCCGCGGCGGAATCATTGGCCCATCGGGCATTGCCAGGAGCTTGGCATGCAGGTGGGCTGTTGCCATCAAACCCGATTAGGACTCCTGCTTTAAGTCCACCAACACCCTCAGCGCGGGAAAGACGACAACAGGATTGCTTCCCCGGGGCCCCCTTTCGCGGTTCTCGGGGTATTCCCAACAGCTTCCCGGAGCTGGCCGCAACCAGCTCACTACCCCCCGGACCCAATGCGTCTCAGAACCAAGCATTGCGACCACACGGCGACCAAAGGCCCACTGCCCGCCCCACCCCATCCCGCCAAACACAGGTTGGCGGCTCCGAGCCCCTAGAACCCCTTCTCGGCACACAAGGTGACTCCTACGCCCCCCCCCGATCAGGTGCTCAAGGTTCTCCTCCCCCTCGGCTGCGCCCGCACCTGATGCGTATGTGTACGGCCGACTCGCCAGGCACTCGGGACTCATGTAGTACGGCGTACTGTGGAGCGCGCCGCGAGGTGGCGGTTGGCATTTTGGAAGTGGGAGGCGTTTGAGGTTAAGTAAGTACGAAGGAGTGGAGGTAAATGGACAACGCGCCGGTCGGCAAAGCCAGGGGCCCTCGGGAGGAGGAGGAGGAGGGGCTAGGGCGGTGCCGTACCGCGGTGCAAGCCCCCTTGACGTTGATTTCCAGGCCCGGTGTCGCCGCCAGTACGCCGCACGTGCAAGCAGCAGCTTACTATACATACCCCATCACCATCCTACAAGGCCATGCTGATAGCGGCCGCTGGTGGTTGTCGGTCCAGCCCGCACCCTTGCACGCAGTCACTCCCTCCGCATGTAGTCCCTCGGCATGCAGTCCAGCAGATAGAAGTCACTCATCCACCTGTTTACCTACCTGCCGCGAGCCCTGCGCATCCCTAGCACCCCGGCTGCTCAGACACCCCGTCAACCCCCGTGACCATACTGTTCTCCTTGCCCAGTCCGGCCCAGCCTGATGCGCCGCCAGCCCACCCCTACCCCCCGTCACCTACCCCAGGCAGGTGATGGCCAGCTCAAAGGTGCCCTCCAGCTGCTTGGCCACCCCCAGGTCCCCCAGCTTGATGACGCGGCGGTTGCCAGCCAGAAAGATGTTGTCCGGCTTCAGATCTGCGGGAGGGAGGTTCTCGGTAGTGGGTTTTCGGTCCTTGACCGAAATCAGAAATACTGGGGGCGGGCTGCGTGCCTTCCTCCCCCACGCCGGACCACCCCTTCCCTTCCCTCCCATCGCCACCCCAGCACAGTGCATGGACCCCCGCGTAGTGCTGTTGGGAGCCCCACGGCTCCCCGCCACCCCAGCAACGGCCTCCAAACCCTCCTCTCCCCGCTGCTACCATCGCTTAGAAACCCTACGACACTCTCAACCCGTCGCGTGCCGTACCTCGGTGCATGATTTTACGGCCATGCAAATGGTGTAACGCCAACAGTAGCTGTACGAACCAAAACATGACCAGGTCCTCAGGAAAGTACGACGCGCGCTGCAGTGCCGCCGCCGCCAGCGCATCCGCCTCTAGCGCGCCGCCGTCTATTGCGGCGCTGCTGGCAGGGAGGGCGCCGCCGCCGCCACCGCCGCAGCTAATGATGGTGGTACCGAAGGCGCCTGCGACCTCGCCACCGCCTCCCCGGCCGGCATCGCTAGCAGGTGGGTTCTGTTGCGGGAGGTTCGGAGGGCGGCAGAAGCAGCTCGAGGATATCCCATACGGCGTGGAAGGCACTGACATGGAGCGAGCCAGCGAGCTACTAACGGTTTACTAACGGTTTACCGGTCCTGGTCGACTAGATTGGCACCGGCGCCGGTGCCAGTTGACGGCACCCTGGTTAACGAAATCTAAGCACCAGTGCAGGATCGCACACTTGAGATAGTCACGAAGGTGGCTCTCAAGGGAAGGTGAGTTACCCGTACTCCAATTCCTAATCGCGCAGCATGTGGAGGCCATTAGCCGCCCTTTTTCCAGCCCAGCCCAGCCCAGCCTAGCCCAGCCCGACCCAGCCCAGCCCAGCCCGACCCACTTTTATGAGCTGCGCCAGCGTGCCGCCTCCGCAGTAGCCCATGACCAGGCACATGACGCCGTCTCGTGGGTCGCGATACCAGCCACGAAACTCCACCAAGTTGGGGTGGGACCCAGCGCGAGTCAGGACCGCCACCTCGTTCTCGGCCTGGAGGGCGTGGGAGCGGGCTGGTGGGCGGGGTCAGGAAGCGACACAAACGCAAGGGAAGGAGACGCACACAGCGACACAAGGCACAGCAAGGGATAAGGGCGGCCCAACGGCCATCCCCATCATCGTTACACATGACAGGGGTGCACGCGGGCGCTTGATCCATTGTCGCAAATCGTAAAGACCACCGTACTGACTACGTATAACCGTTAGCCAAGAGCCCCCAATCGAGCAGTAGCGGCATCCCGGCATCATCCCGGCATTGCTGTCCGGGATTGCGTTTCACCCGAGCCCAGCCTCGGGCCAGCCCGCCCGCCCTGGGAGATTTCTCACCTCCGACTGTGCGGCGCGGCCCGCGGGCCTGCGCAAAAGGGGGTTGGGAAATGGGGGATCGTGTGAAATCCGCTCGTGTGCGAGTAATCTGGCATGGAACCGCTGTAATGGAAGGGACGAAGCGGCCCGTATATGGTACGTAAATGGATCTGAGCGGGCTCCATGCATCAGGACCTCATCCTCCTGACCCCGCCAACGCCAGGCGCGCTGCTGCACGTGTGTGATGCCAGCGTGCTCTACGTGCGTGATGCCAGCGGACGGCTCCGCAGGCAACAAACCCTTCTCTTCCCCTCAATTTGCTGCCCCATACCGCCGGGTGCAAGGGGCACCCCCCTGATCTGCCTACCTACTGCGACATGCACCCAAACGCACCGACACACAATAGGTGCACTCCAAGGCTTCACCCGGATTCCGACCGCTCCTAGCAGCGGTCCCAATAAAGCTCGTTGATTTGAAACATGCGCGCCCGATGCTTAGCTCGATACCGTTCCTTCAGTGGCCCCTAGTGGGCGCCTGCGGACAGCTCAATGGCTCACCTGCGGTCCAGACGCTTCACCACCACCTTGCCGCCCGTGCCCGCATGCTTGGCCAGGTACACCGTGGCGAAGGACCCGGATCCAAGAATCCGGCCCAGTTTGAACATTCCCGAATCCAGCTCTCGAGGCGTCCCCCGTCGCGCCCGCTCCCTCCGGGTCCCGGCAGCGGAAGCGGACGCCTCCGGGAAGGGACCTTGTGACGACGCGCGGACGGGGCCCGGCAGTGGAGGGGGTTGGCCGCAGCCGCTGGCAGTTAAAGCCTTCGAGCAATGAACAGGCATGTGCTTCTTGGCGTCTACGGCTCCCGGCTCCGCCCGTGGCGAGGCCTGTTGGGATCCGGATCCTGCCAAGGCCAAGGAACCCGATGCGGATCCAGTCTCCTCCGGAATAACGCTCAGATCCGGGGCCACGCGGCGCTGCAACAAGCCCACAGCTCCACCTAGGGCAACAGTCCGACAGTCCTCGGCGGTGACCCCGGTGGCTGCGGCGGCGCCTGGTCCCGTCGTCATCGCCACGGCCGCCGCCGCCACTGCTGGAGACCCCCCGGCAGTGGTTGCTCTCCCCGCAGCCTCCGTGCAAGCTGCCCCTGCCGGCGATCCCTCGGGGCCTGCCGGCGCCTGGACGCGCAATCCGCCAGCCGCAGACTTCGACGCCGAGGGGCCCCGCTTGACTGGCTTGGCGGCTTTACCGTTACCAGCTGCCGGGATCGACTTGTTTGAAGCTTTCCTCTTAACACCAGGTTTTGTTCCTGCACCGCTCGGAGCCGGGTTACCATGACTGGCTGCAGCGGCGCCGGCACCTGCCTTATTACCACCACCACCGCCACCATCACCGCCGCCGCTCGGCCCGACGGCAGATGTCTTCTTCTTGACCCTTGCGGCGGGGCGCGACGACTCCTCAGCACCAGCGTCACGGTGCTCAGCGGCTCCAGCGCTGCTGATGCGAGGCCGGCGCGGCTGCGGCCCTGCGGGGCTGGCGGCCTCATCTGTGTGGCTTGCGCTGCTGGCCCCCGACCCATCCGCGGACGCCGCCCGCCTCACCCGCTGCAGATGGTGGTCCAGGGGGTGGCCACTCCCCGCGGGCCGCAAAGATGACGGCCGCCGCCGCCGCGCTGCCGCCGCCCGATCCGCCTGTGTTGCCGCGTCAACAGCTGCTGCGGCGGCGGCAGCTGTGGTGGCCGCGGCCGCACGTGCAGCAGCTGCCGAGGACGCCCGCGCTTCCGGCGGCAGCGCGGGCTTGCGTGGCGGCGGTGCCTGAGGCGATGAAGCCCAGCCCGTCACATGGCGCAGATCCGTTGCCGCGGTGCTACCGGCCGCGCCGCCGCCCCCTGCTCCGCCTCCATCCTCCGTCCCCCGCCGCGTTAACCCCTCCTGGGATGCTGACGGTGCCCTGCCCGGGGCTTCCTGCGAGACCGACACACGGACAGACGTCCCCACAGCACAGAGCGCTAGGGGCTCGTGTTGCTGTTGATGATAGCTGTGATGGCACTGTCCGGAAGGACCTTGCTGCTGCAGAGGCACCTGTGGTGCTCGTGGCGATGTTTCAGTTTGGGGCCCAGGGTTGGGCCAAGCCGCAGAAGCACTGAGAGGCGGCTGCGTACCTCGGGAGGCAGCTGCTGAAGTGCCTGCTGCTGAGGGCCTCGGCGACTGGTGGCCCTGGCTACCCATAAGTGATGTCAGGGACGATGCCCTGAGATGCGGCGGCCGCCCAGTTGTACGGCCGACGACAACCCTGCCGCCAGCAACTCCGGCGTTGAAGCCACCTCCGACGCCAACACTTCCCGCTGGATACGATACAGCCGACGCAGCCGAGGCAGCGCCGCTGCCGCCACCGCCGCCACCTGTTTCGCCATCGCCATCGTGGACGGCTCCAGCAATCTGGTTGGGCGCCGGCGGTATCGCACGGATGGTTGGGACACCTTCCAGCCCTTCGCCCACCGCCACGTCTGCTGCCGCCGCCGCCGCTACATGCGAGGGCACTGCCGCCACACCGCTATCAGACTCGCCGTCCTCCGTGTTGCCAGCCGCCAGGTTCCGCCATTCCGGTGCTGAGCAGGGCCGATCTGTGCGGCTCCCCAGGCTGTGCACTGGCGCCGCTGTGGACCGCCCTGGTGCCCCTGCTGCTGATGTTGCCGCTCTTTCCGCCATTCCGTCCACGCCGCCCATGCTGCGGTTGTCCCCTTGAGGACCACGCAAGGTCGACCCCTAGCAGGGCTCCGACACTACACTATCGGCGCAGCTCCTGGCCTGAGTACGCACGCGGTTCGGTATATACCGTTTAGGCTGCTGATGCCGTTCCCGTCAACCCCGCGACCGCCTCTAGCCGAGCTGGGGCTCCATGCCCCTCGTTGGGGGCGCCATGCAGGGGTGCTTATCAGCTGCCACAGCAGTGATGGCGGCGGAGCTGATGCAGCTGCCGGCCGCCGGACCTTTGGGTCGATATAGGGAGCGTCCAGGCTGAGAGACCTCAGGACTGCCCGTCATCGCCTGACCGGAATTTGGGCCCCGGATCCAGACCCGGTTTCAGTTAGGAACCATTGCAAACGTGAGGATTGCGGGAATGGAATTGGGATCCGGGGCAGTACGTAAGGTCTGGATTGACTACTTAACGAGGCTATTGGCCTACATGAAGGTAGTGTGGCTGAAGCGCGATGGATGTGACAGGTTCCAACCTCCCGCGGGGATGGCGCGGATGGCCGATGGAGCACTATTGCCACGTGGACACCGTCGGTGCGGATGCAGTTCGACTGTAGAGAACACGGCGTGACAATCATGCAGAAGTAAGGAGGGTTTGACCTTGCCAATTGCTGTGCCAGGGGCCTCACGAGTCACATCTATGAACTTCATGTACACTCCACGCACTCTAACCGTAAGGAAAGGGCAGTCAAGGTTGAGCGGGCTACGAAGATGCTGTTCGGAAGCCATGCCAGGCATATTGGTTGACCAAACAACCAAGCTTCGTATGTATTTTGAGCGGTATGGCCACAAGCGCCCTTAAACGACTTACCACACAATAAGGGTAGAGCACATGTATCTCAACGCCGACGAGGACAACTGCATGACTCCGCCGCACTGTTATCAATCTGTATTGACATATCGTGTGCAATATATGTTTGAAGATTGCAAAGCGGGGAGCTCTCCCTTCAGACCTAGTCCTGGACCAGGATGGTACCAGTATTTACTCTGGTAATCGGGTCCTAAATAGATATTTAGTATTTGTTGGGTAACACTAAGCCGTCACGCGTCCTGTCAAAGGAGCCGCTATTACCCTTGTTCCGTACGGGCGCTCTGTAAGTTTTCCCTCGCTTGCCTGACCTAGGACGTGGACCAGCCGGTCACGTAAGCGCTCCGTTTTCTGTAATTTAAATTGTAACGAGCTTGAAGACTGCTACCTGTTTCCGTTATCATGTTGCAGGTAGGTACCTGTAGCTAGGTAGGACTGAATGCAATCATAAGATTGTACATCCCCGTATCTAGCAGTCCTTTTTACTTTAGGATTTTTTCCGAAGACGTTGATCTTCCATAGCAAACGCTTCCGCGATGAATCCATAAGCACTGACCGATTTCGAAACCAGACTGCGAGAGCAGACTGGTGCTGCGCAAGCCGACTCATACGTTCGGGGAGCATGCTATGTAAGTGCGATCAGCGTATAAAAGGAGCAATGCTTAGAGTTGAGCGGCCCAGGGATGAAGGACGCCGGAATGCGCCCTGTACCTCGCCAGCCGGCGGCAACCCTCACAAAGAGAGTCCATTCTCCAACGCGCCGAACAACGTCACGAACCCTAAGTAGAGACGTTTCCAAACTGTTCTTTGCAAAAATGGCTCCGCGAAATATGCAAGAGGATATGTCGACAAGTGGTGCAAGTCCGAAGTGTAGTTGTCGCCAGCGCCAGATCGTCCAGGTCCCCAACCCAGTATGAATCGGCACCCCGTCATAAGGGCGAAGGCCAAACCGCTCGAGCGAACGTGATTGTAGGAAAGAAACTATGTCAACGTAATATTCAGTGTAGACGGGCAACGTACGCCAATTAGCCGCCCGGGTGGTGTTGATGCAGCAGGTGCACCACCACCACCAGCACCTCCGTTCAGCTACTCTTAATTCCTGTCGAGGCACACAATGACATGGCATGCTGCAAGCACATTGCAAAACGTTCTTCACCCCACCGTAACGTAACGACCTCACACCGCATCAAAGACGCACGACCAATATTACAACACGGCTCCAGATTCATCATCACAGTGGTCCACCAGAGAAGTCAAAGTGCCATGAATTGCAAGACTTTGCTGCTGGGTCTGCCGTCCCCAACACCTTGCAGCGCACAGTCCGCCAGCAGCGCCCTTCCACGGGGGGGAAAGGTGCGCAAGTCAACTGTACTTCATACCCAACACTCTGGGACACACCGTAGTGAAATCCTCAGGTACAACTCCGAAGCCACGCAGGGAAAAATGGAGGTGCTAGGAAAAGCACGCAAGCAGAAAAACAGGATAAATTGAGAGGACGGCGGGAGAAGTAAAGCTTCCAAGATGCCAAGACGACGTATTGCCACTTCTTTTGCCATGACCCCTAACTTGGTTGAATGCCCCCACCATCATGTGAGGGTTACGCTGGTGGAGAATCTCTCAAGCGACCCACCGGCTCCACAGCTTCATCCAGTACCCAAGTCCATCCATCCGTCCATTCACGAAATGCCCGGCACCAGAGAACAGGTCCGCTGGCCGCCAGACCTGACCCTGCGGAACCAGGCAGCACATCGCATCCGGCTTGGCCGCATACGAGCTGCTTACCCCCGTCAGGGCTCCTGTCCTCATAGCTCAGTGGATTTCAGCGGGTTAGGGACCTCCTTGCTCTCGCTAGTTGCCCGGGCACTGCGCGCCTCCGCCGCCTCCACGAAGGCGTCGTAGAGGGGCTGGTTAAAGAGCACGAAGCGCACTTCTTTGACGCTCCCGCCCTCGCCCACCGCGTCCAACGCCTCGTCCACTGCCGCCAAGGCGACCTGCAACACCCATCCCACCACCGCAGCCCAATGAAGGTCTGCATATCCATCCTGAACGCACCTGTAGCTTAACGCCAAAAGGCTCAACTCATAACCTCGTCCGCCACACCCTGTCGTATATCCCCTCGTGGAATCCCCTCCCTACACCTTCGAGTACTGTCCACACAACCCAGCCCAGCCTGTCGCAGCGCCCCCCCGCCCGGATCCAGATCACCCTACCCGTCTGAGTGCGAGCCTACACGTCTGCAGAAACCCGTATGCCGCCGCTCGGCCCACTCAAGCCATTTCGCACTCTTATCGCCCCTCTTGCTGGCACACCATGCGGCGCTCACGTGCCCGTACCCCTGGTCTACCCGGGATCCCACTCACCTCCGCCGCCTCGTCAAAGGGGTATCCGAACACGCCGGTGCTGATACCCGGAAATGACACGCTTTTGAGGCCCCTCTCCAGCGCCAGTTGCAGGGAGCTGCGGTAGGCGCCGGCCAGCAGAGGCGCCGAGTGCTTGGGGTTCTCGTAAATGGGTCCCACCGTGTGGATGACGTGGCGGGCCTTAAGCTTGAAGCCCCTGGCTCGGCGCCAGGGACAAGTGCATGGGAAGAGGCATGCAAGGCGAGGACGGAAAAGGAACTCGACAGGGAGGGAGCCGTCGTGGTGGGACCGGTGTTGGATTGTGGCGTGCAGCGCCGGGCTTTACATGCTGTTTGAGCTGTTTGCGGATTTGGCCAAGCCTCATGGAGAGGAAGGGCCGAGGGAGGGAGAAGCAGGATACGTCACTGCAGCTCCAGCGTGTGCCCGACCCGGAGGGCGGGGACCCGCTGCACACCTGCCCTGGCCCTGCTCCCCCGTTACCTTACAGCCGCTGGGCTGGCGCACTTACGGTGTGATCCTTGCCTCCCCGGTGGGGCACCTCACGCCCGGCCGGACCTCAGGTACCTCGGCACACGCCCTGACGAGCTCGGGCCCTGCGGCCCGATGGATGGCACCATCCACACCTCCGCCGCCTAGCATTCGCTCGTTGGCTGAGGTCAGAGTGGCAGGGCATGATGCTGCTGTTGGACTTCGAAGTCGAGTGGATACATAATGGCGCAGGACACGGAATGCAAGTGGATGGCTTGAGCAACTGCTGGTTTTTCCACCAGAGGCGGGGCATCCAATATACCCATGTGTTTTTTAAATTGAGCTGCCGCTGTAGACTAGATACGTCTGCGTTTTGTGGGTGCTCTATAAAAAAATGCGTGGGTTGACATGGCCTTCGCGAAACCATGTGTCACAAGCCAACTCCCACTTTGGTATAAAACGAGTATCACCTGCGTTTACGATAGCATCGACATTCTCGTGGGTGATGTCGCCTTGTTTAATGACAAGCTTTGCGACGTGACGTAACGGAAAGGCCCGCCCAGAAGCCATGCTCTTACTGGCCGCAGCTCGGACACAACATGCCAACCTGCGGATCCAAATCCTTATATCTTTACATGACTTATATATTGCTCTTGCTCCTCGACTTACATAAGAAAGGTCTGATAATGCCGTTGGCGACGCACAACTAAGGAACCCCTTGACACGCGGCTTAGCATGTAGCCTCGCACACTTCAATAACCTTCTAGTCAAGCATCGTTGCACGTGCAGTTACCCTGGTGTTAAAGTTTCCGCCAGTTGCTGGCTTCGGAGCGGACTGACCCCCACAGCATTATCTCACCTCTTCTCCTATCATTCAACCTTCCTAAACACCATATTCACCTTGCCCATGCAAGAAAAGCTAAGGCTGCATCGCACGTCTACCCAACAAATAGCTAGGCGCACTTGTAACTTCTAGCACCTGGCACAGCTGCCCACGACCCCACATACCGTTCCGCGGTCCATCGTAACATCCCCAGGAAGACAAACGGACGCGAAACCCGCTGAATGTAGAGTGATATGCATCCTCGCCCCAACGAAGCGAGAGAGCAAACGGAGCAGAGCTGCTCCCAAAGACCTCTTCCCCACTTTTAGATGTCCCTGCAACCCGTACCCCAAACCCAAACCTCACGCCTCTTTTATGTTACAGTGCGGCAGACCCAAGGTTCACCGACGGCGGATGCAGGATGTCCTGTGTGTGCCGCCCAACAGCGATTCGACGCAGTTCTTCCGCTAAACAAATTGCAGGCCGTCCATGGCGCCGCCCAGCTTGCAAGCCTGGAAAGGTACCACACGCATCATGTGGGCAGTAAACCCTCGGCACATCCAGTCCCGCACAACCCGCCTCCAGACACACGGAATTGCAGCACGGGGCCTCACGTTGGGCCCCATGGCATCTCTCAACCTGCGCCCGGGCCCCCCAAACACACACACCCTTACCCACCTCCCCAAATACTTCGGCGACGATTACCGTGATTGAGACAATACAACCACGATGGCAGTTCAGGGGGCTCATTTAAGCACGCTGCACAGCAGGACCGTATTTCATAGCTAGCCAAACAACCCTTATCCCAAGGAAGGAATCCCGCACGTCCCCAATGTGCCCACCGGGGAAGGAAACCGCACCCGCGCCAGCACACCCGATGATACACAGCAGGAGGAAGCCTATCACCACACCCTAGGGTGTACATGTCCCAGCCTGTACCTTCCATTCGGCAGAGGCCGCGCATGTTCTACCTGCCCTTGTATTGCGCCCTAGAATTGCAACCCTCTGCGCAGCGCGGCCTGTGCATCACCGAGTAAGACGGCTGAATGATGCGGGATCCTTCCCTGCGGGCGGCATCGCACCTGCGCCCGCAGCTGCAACCGCCGCTTCGGCCCGCACCCTCGCCGCCTCCCGCATCTGCGCATGCAGCGCCACCAGCTGCCGCCGCTGCTCCTCAGGCTCCAGCCCCAGCCATTGCTCCACCCGCACACACACCACTAGCCATCCCCTCAGCAGCAACAGCCGAGCCGCCACTGCGGCGAACGCCAACGGCGGCTGCGGCGCCGCTTCCTCCATCACCCGGTGCCTGCCCGGCCCCTCGGCCTCCTCCCATGGGGGCACCAGTAGCAGTGCACAGGAACTGCGGCTGCCCAGACGCATCACCCCGTGGCGATCGCCCTCGTACGTGTTGCGCCACTCCAGCAGCATCCCAGCGGCATCCGCCGCAGCATCAAGCGATGCGCGACAGCGCTGCAGCCGACGCGCCGCCGTTGCCGGCGCATCCGCTGCCAGCGCCGCCGGCGTCACATTCCAGTTGACGCCGGCAGTCTTCTGGCGGCGGCGCCAGCGGGAGCGCAGCCTCAGTCGGTCCCAGGTGGACGGCCGCTGGCGGGCCACTAAGGCACGGACCTGCACCAGCGCACGCAGCAGTGCGGGTCGGGGCTCCAGGGGGGCGGTGGAGCAGCAGAGGGCCCGCGCGGCGCAGTAGCGGAAGAGCCTGCAGGTGGGTAACCCAGGAGGCGGAGGTGGCGGACCAGGACGACCGGGCAGTGCGCGGGAGGAGGAGCGTCCGCGGGCGCGGCTCCGAGCGCGCCTCCCACAGGGCAGGGTGTGAGACCCCGGCAGAGTATCGGAAGCCGGGGTGACGCTGCAAGTCCACCTCGCACCGCACTTACGTCCTTTCCCCCGGATAAACAAGTCCTCACCGATCTCCGCAGCCTCTCCGCTCTTCCTCTCTTATGTCCCCCACCCCCAACACCCTCGCACTGCTCACGCTCAGCCTCCCCGATCCCGCCACCTCATCAGTTCATTATAAGAGTCGCCCCCCGGGTTACACAGCCCGCATATCTTCACATCCTTCACGTCCATGACGAACATCCGCCTGGCATTCGTGGTGCACATCTGCTGCCAAAGGCCACAGCTACAGCCATGCAGGGCCGCTTGCCGCTCCCGGCCCAACCCCCCATTTTTCGGACCCGCCTGGGTCTCACCCTCCCGCACTCCCACCCTCCCGCCCTCCTTCGCACCTAGGGGTGTACATCCGGAGTACGCACATGGCCCAGGTCACCTTGACCAGGGACTCGAGCGTCAGCAGCTCAGAACGCTCCACGCAGAGTCGCCGACCCAGCAGCCGCAGGCAGCACTCCAGCAGTCGCTGTGAGCAGACCTGGTCTTCAGGGACGGTGTGCCGAGGAGGGTAGATCGGCGCCACTAGGGATGCCCGCGGCGTCAGCGGCACTCCTTCGGGCCTGGCCGTCTGCTCGCTATCACAGGGAGGTACACCACCAGCGTCGCGGGCACGTCGGTTGCTGCGGCGGTTGCTGTCTGCGGCAGAACGGCTCACCGCCTTTGGGTCGGTTGTTGCAGTCATCCCTGAATGCGGCAGCGGGGCCGCGCCGCCTGCAGCAGCTCTAGGTCGTCGCCGCCGCCGCCGCCGCTGTAGCAGTGCCGCCAGCACCAGCGGGACTTCAGGCCGGGACCAACGCAATAAACTGGACAGCATCCTTCGTCGTACGGCAGCGTGAACAGACCCGCCGCTGCCGTCATCGCAACCCTCCAAGCTCTGAGCTGGCTTTGCGTCAATGCGCACTTCTTCCCCTTTCTTGGCATTGCCCGCCACACAAGAGCCGGGGTCGCCGGAGCCAGGCGAATGGACAGCAAAGGGGCTCAAGGTGCTAGCAGCTGCAAGTCCTTGTACAGCATCGCCATGTCCTCTTACGGAGTCAGCACTAGCCCCAACGCCGCCAGCAGCGGAGGCGCTCCGGCCACGGAAGCGACAGGAGACGGGATCGGGATGAAACCATCCACTCGCTGTCGTCGTTGCGACAGCGTCCGTGTTGGGCGCCACGGCATTATCAACTACCGAGGGCTTCTCTGCAAGTGGTAACATTGCATGGATGCCCATATTGCCCCCAGGAGGCGGTCGCAGCACAGCCAGCGCCCAGGCGATTTCGCAGAGAGTGTGTGAGGCTAGGGAACGCAGATGGCGCCTCAGCAGGAGGCTGGTGGCTTCAAGCACAACCGCGTCAGGACGATGTCTATGCGCCACACAGGCGATGAGGAACATGGACAACAAACCGCCATCCAGCGCCGCCGCTCTACGGTTACTGCAGCAGGAAGCAGCTCCGCCGGCTGCTACCGTTGCGGCTCTTATGGAACTGCCGCCGCCGCCGCGCCTAAGTGCTGTACTTGCAACCCGGTTGGCATGCGGGCTGCAGTCAGCGGCTGCGTCCAGAATCACAGGCTCAATGACCCCGGTCAATGCTGCCACAGCGTCGAGCAGGGCGGCGTCGGCGCCGAGGCTGCCGCCGCGGCGGCTACCGTCGGTGCCGTATTCATCGCCAGCTGCGGCCGCGGCGGCTGTGCGTCCGATGCGCTTGGCCAGTACCCCCAGGCCCCATAGCAGGGGAACCGCTTCCCTCGGAGTGAGCACCGGCGCCAGCGCTACCGCCCTTCTACAAGCCAGCTGCAGAACCCGCCCATCGCACACACCCAGGCGTCCGAGGCTGCAAATCACGGAGGAAAGCCACACGCCGTCCGGGAAAGCTGCTTCGCGGACGGTCTCCCCGTTGCCACCAGATGCGGGTTGCAGCCGCTGCTGCTGCTGCGAGTGGTACGGCTGCCGCGGCTGGATTTGCTGCAATGCCGCCATGTGCGCCGCCGCCGCGACCAGCACAGCGCGCGTGAGCCTCACATGTCGACACCGAAACTCCGCCATCGCGCTTGTTAACATTGCCAGCGCCTGGCCCGCGTCCTCACCAACACCTGTAGACGGCGCTGCTGCCGCCGCCGCCACCGCCACCGCCACGGCACGCTCCCACAGCGCTGCCAGGCCCGCTTCTCCGGGGTTGACACCGGCCGTCGCGTACGCCCAGGCTGCCATGGCCACACCCTGCGGCGCTAGCCGCGGCAGTGCCATTGCAAGCGGGCCCCGGCTGGCATGAAAGAACTGCATTACGGACATTCCCGGCAGTGGGCTGCCGCTGTCGGTCGTCATGAGCTTGGCTACGGACCACAGTGCCATGGGCAGCTGGTCGGGCTCCAGGGAGGGCAGTAGCGCCGTCAGTCGGCCCACCACGAGCTCAAGGACGGCATCCCCAGGGCAGCCCAGAGTCGCTAGGCCCCAGGCCATCATCAACAACGACTGTAGGACGGGTCCGGGTGCAGGGTAAGAGGGTTGGGGGGGGAATAAAGACGAACCAGGGTTGGGGGGGGATAAGGAAGAAAGAAAATGTCATAGGAACAGAAGCGTGCGGATAAAATTCAGCAGGGCAATGGCAAAATCTGATAATGGAGCGCCGAAGTGGCACGTGACGGCCCGGAGAACAGAGCCCTATCATCCTTGCAATGCGTACGGCAACCTAGTGCAAAGCCTTCCATGCAAAGTCGTCACAATGGTCAGCCGCTGCTGCCCCCACACGCCACGAGGCGGTGGCCCCACTACCCACCTGAGTGTCGAATTCCGCCATCCGGCTGCGCAGCGGGCCGCACAGCCTCCGCAGCCCAGCCGGCGGCACCCCGGCGCTCAGCCGTGCCAGAGCCCACACCAGCCGGGCTACCTGTGCCGGCGGCAAGGACTCCAGGTCCATTACCAGCTCCGCACCCCTAGCGCCCTCCGTCCGCAACTCCAGGCTGGAACGTCTCGGAGGCTGCAAATGCTGCCCAGGCCGCCCCGCATGGTGCTGCTGCGAATGGCTACGACCCCTGCTACTCCCCGACTCCGCTTGTGGACCTACCCCGGGGTCAGAGCTGGGCCTACCAGCTTTGACCCCGGTCGGAGCTGGGCCTACCCTGTTTGGCGTGGCTGCGTTAGCTGAGTGCACAGGTGCGGGCCGGCTAGGCCCCGTCTTGCCTCGCTGGGCGCCAGGGCAGTTGCCCGCAGCAGCGCCCTGCTGGCATGTCAGGGCACCCGTAACGGCTGACAGCAGGCCCGTGGGTCGGTGGGTCAGGTGGGCGAAGGCCCAAAGCATGGTGGCCACCTGGTACGCCGGGGACAGGGGCAGCAGCTCCAGACAGCGCTGCTCCAGTAGGGCCCACATCTCTGAATTGTGCAGCGCCTGGTGGAGTGCACCCTCGACGTCGTGTACACCTGAGGCGGTAGCTGCGGCCACATCCAGAGCTGGTACACCGGCAGAGCCGGTCGGGTGCCCCCCAGATAGCTGGGCCTGCATCTCCTGTACCGCATTTGGGAGTAATGAGACCTTCTGATCCGTGGGTCGTGTATTCGCCACCATGTTCCAATCATGATGCCTCGTCGCGACCAGCTCCCGCGACGCAGCCGGTGCCGGTGCCGCTGCAATTGCGTACACATAGAGCAGCTCAGCCAGGTCCTGAGGCCCTAGTTCACCGAGCCGAAGGTGCAAGTAGCTCACGATGGCGTCCAGCAGAGGCCTGACCCGCGGGTCAGTGAGGGCACCCAAGGCGGCCAGCCCACCAAGCAAATTGGCAGCCTCACGGGGCTTAAAACGATCTAGTTGTCGCACCGCGGATCTGCACAGCTCGACACATGCCGCCAGCTCCGGGGCTTCAGAGCCTCTGGCAGGAGAGGGGGTGCTGCTCCAGCCGGGAAGGCGACTCCGCAGCTGAGGCTGCGCAGAAGCAGGGGTGCCTGACCAAGAAGGTGTTGCGGGAGGCGACAGTATCGACTCCGCTGTCCGCGAGAATCCCCATGCCATGTTGGCAAGTGCCTGCGGCTCGCAGCTGGGAGCCGAAGCCGCCACCGCTGCCGCCACGGCCCTCCGCACGCTTATGTCAGGGTACGGCACACCAAGCTTGCCCATGCCGTACACAACCATGGACAGGCCTACAGGCGACATGTGGTCTAGCAGACCCGGCTCCGTCAGGCGTGCCGCCAGAGCCGACACCAACTGCCCAACTGCCGGCAGCCTGTTTACGGACGAATCCAGTTTGCCTAGCGCCCAGATCAGGTCCTGCAGCGACCTGCTGTCCAGGGAGGAGACCAAGGGCTGCCGGGTGGCAGCTGCGGCCACCGCCTCTGCCAGGCGCTGCAAGCCCCCACCGCCGACACCACCACCGTCCCACAGCTTCACCAGGTTGTGCAGAAGCGCAGCACCACAACGCGCAGCGGCTGCACCGGCGCCGCCAACACCAACAAGGACAGGGTTCGTGGCGTCGTCATCAGCGACAATATCACCCGCAGCGGCTGCAGATGAGCGTAACTGCGCCGTTGCTATTGCTCGGGCGACAGTGCTCCGCGCACGGATCGGCTCCTCCATATCCTGTGACTCAAGCTGGCAAGCAGCTGAGACAGCCAGCTCCTCTACAAGGGCATACAGAATGTCGGACGCGCTGGCGACGGCGGCATGGGTGCCAAAGCCGGCTCCCTGATGGTCCAATACCCTAGCATGTGCCTCCATCACCACCGTGGGACCCTTCGTAACCTGGCTACAGCCGGGGGTGCCAGCACCCGGGTTCCGACTTCGGAGCCGCAGCCGTACAAGCTGGCGGCTCACGTGCAGGAGTTGCTGCAGCGACATACCGTTGATGGCCCCTCCAGAGCCGGGATGGCGGCCATCGGGCCCGGTGTGGCACTGGCGCTGCAGCGCGAGCAGCAGGGCCCGGCAGCCGGGATGGGATAGGAGAGAGGGGTTCCCGGGCGGGGCCCCGGCAGCCGCAGCCACGGCACGTGTTAGACGATCCAGCGCCGCAACACATGCATCCTGCCGGGACAGGGCAAGTGCGGCTAGAGCCGGTCAGTTGGTGGGACAATCTCGATGTGGAAACACGCGAAAGGGAATTAATTAGGGCCAATAGATTGAAAGCAGTACCTTGTATGCTGGAGGCAACCAACCCTGGTACGGCGTGTACGGAGCTCCTTTTTGGCGGCTCACAAGGCGCAAGGTAGCGGTCTACATTCGTTTACCCGACACCACAACTGATGGCAACCTCATGCCGCATGAGCCTGACAGGATGACGATTAGCCTTTCGATTACCTGGCTTGCGAATAGAAGGGACGCATCCCGCGCTAGCTCAGACAGCACCGCTCCAGGTTCTGTGGTCAACGGCGGATAGCTGGTGGCAGAGTGACTCGCCCTCGCCTGCTTCTGGCCCGGATGAGCAGTGCCCGGCTGTTGCACAGCCTGCGGCTCCGGCCTGGTGTTGGGACCCATGGGTTTTGAGCCCGCAGTTTCCCCATGTCGAAAAACAACATGCTTTGCGGGACCTTGTCCAGAGGGCGCCGCCGTGATGGCTGTATCCCGGGGTTGGGGTACCCTGAGCTCCGCTACGTCTGGTTGGTTTGCGCGCCTCTCACGGCTAGTGGCATGTAAAGACGGCAGCCGACGGTGCAAAGTGGCATTGGCAGAGCGGCTGATGTGGAGTACTAGAGCCGATGGACCGTGGCTGTCGAAACCATTTCTTTGAAGCAGAGCACAGGCAGAATCATTCATGTCGTTTGATGGGGGTGCATTAGGGATTTCATATCTTCCTCCTGTGGACTCGTTACGGCTGGGCGAAGGTGGCACCCTCGTTTGCGTGGCTGCGCCGACGATTATCGATGTCTGCTCTGCCTTAATCCTTGCACTATGTCCCACATGGAATTCCGTCAATCTTACATTTGTAATTGGCTTTAAATTATGGCCTAGAGGCTGAGTGTTCATGGTAATGTCTCCGCAGAGACAACAAGCCCCAGCCCTAAACAGGTTGCTAGAGCTTCATGGTTTTCTGTAAAATGCAAAGAACTGTATTGATGGCTTGTTCTGTCGTTTTACGCTTTACCTTTCCGTTACCTTACAACGGTGTACGTCAATGTCATTCTAGTAGAAAACAAGCCGTTCCTCCGTTCGTAATTATTCCAAAGCTGCGAAAGCCGATTTGCGTGACTGGAAGTACAAATAGGCATTTGGAGGGAATTCCTGAACCAGGGAAACATGCAGTGGCATATTTGCCAGTCTTTCACCCAGTGGAGCTCCAAGCCTCTGCGCCAGACGAAGCTGGCGGTGCGCGCTCAGGCAGTATCAGGTAAGGACAGGTGGGGAGCTGTCGAAACGGTGTCGCTGCCACGCCGACCGAGACTGGCTATATCTTGTGCTGCATATCCAGTTGCCCGCTTCTTGATAAATGTCGTAGTGTTGCACCTCTTCAACGAACCCATGTTCATTGTGCATGGGTCGGGGATATCGCCTTTGTCAACAGGGCAATGTCGTCATCCCAGGTTTACGCAGTAGGTGCTTGCCTTCTGCAAACCGAGCCACAACGTGTGGCTATGGATGGAGTTTAACATTCTGATATCTATGCTATTAGTTTCTGAATCCCTAATTATGCATACGCCTGGCTTGCCTGGCTCGCAGAGACGACGCCGGCGTTTAAGTTACCGAAGGTCCAGCTTCCAAAGGATCCGGAGGGAATCAAATCTTTTATCGCGAAGTCACATCAGATGCACGGCCAGGGGCGGTCAATGTGGTTCTGCCTCTCAGGGGCGGGGAAACGGGCCACTACCGGCACGTACCTTGCGCATGCCGACACGCTAGACTGGAATGCCGCATCCAGTGGCTCCATTGACTCGTACAATATCTACAGTTGAGGTTGCCCTTGCAAGGCACGGCAAGTCATGTAGCTCTCGCTTGGCAAATGGCTTCGGCAAGGCTTGCTGCGTTTTCGGATCGTTTTTGGATCTTGGCTCGTGTTGAATGCACAGGTGGACGTTGCTCTGGTGCAGAGTGCAGTATTGGAGAGTTGTTGCAAGTTCGTTAGCCGGCGTTACTGGAGCATGGGGCCGACAAGAGGCTCTTATTGTTTTTGAGAGACGGACAGTGCCATAGCGGGCCATAGGTAGCTTAGATTGACCTCGGCCAGCTTGTGTATGGATGCTGCAGCGGACTGTTGTTGTGGCACGCCCTGGAAAGGCGTCTTTTGAAAGGAGTTGTTGTTTGTCTTTTGTGCGTCAGGCAAATGAGCTTGATGATTGGGGGGTTGAGAATTACGCGCGGGGGGACTTCCCTACTTCTGTCGAGTGTGTTTCAATTCCGGGAAATCGGGTGGAGGAATTCCACCGGCCGCCTGGGGGCAAGGAAAATCAAGCCTTTACGGCCGTGACCTGGCACAGCTGGGAGTGAATGCAGATTTGAATCCAAAACCCCTTGGATAGTTTGCTTCCCTTTGAAGGTTGGCAGGGCCCTATCCCCCAGATGTCAGCAGTGAGACGATCCGGATTCTGCCGATTGACGCAAAAGACAGTTGCGCGAACTAGTGTTGGGCATCATGTTTAACAATACCGTATGGCGAAGCCTTAATATGCGGATGCACCGGATCGGGTTTTCCCATATTCCAAAACTTCTGGGGAGTACACTCTTGTACTGTAGAGGTTTGTTGTCACGAAATATCCCATCCTATCGTATGCTTCTATCCTCTTGCGGGTTATAAGCTTCTATTCTTCTTACAGGTTAATGGTGGCGGTCCTTCCCGCGTTCTCGTGTCTTTCCCGTGTGCTACCCCACAACAAATAGCAAATAGAACTCCTTATGTTGTTACAAAGATCAGCGCGCCAATTACTGCTCATTTTACAGCAGACATCTCCGATTACGGCGTGCCTGAGCAAAGTCACTGCGGGATGTGTGCAGAAGCAGAGCTGGGAATCTTTTCTTCCTGTATGCCTTGCTGATTGCGCATATGTCCATCGTCTGCCAATCGACCCTTTATCACATTTTTGACTCCGGCCCGTCAACCCGTACACCCTCACTTCATGTGCATTACAGTCCATCGGTGGCAGATTCAGGTATATTGAAATATACTGTTCTTAAGGAGTGCTGTTATGCATATCTCCTTCAGGGTCCTGTTACATGAGAACTGAATCACCAAGTAATGTTTATGTTTTAAGAAAGAAGAGCTACAATTTGAAAGAGTACTATAGAGGTCCTGGTGAGAACGTTCTTTAACTCGGCAAACAGGCGCCTAGTGGCCTTCTCAGGTCTATTGTTTGAACATCTTCCAGGGTTTGCAGGTGCTGAATCCGGACCCAGCGAGCCCAGTGAGCCTCACCAAAGCATCATGGTGCGCAGATTTACGATTTACCGGTTCCATCTGCAGTTTCGGCGGACATGGAGATGCTAAGGTTTAGCTAGGGGTATGTGAGTTACCCACAAAATTCAGCTGTTTTCTTTGTCCTTTGTGCAGGAGAGTTTTTCGTCAGTGCACCGGCTGGGTGCTCTTCTGCTTAACGTCGTCGACGAACTTACAACGAGCTGGTCTCAAGGCCTAGTAACGTAACTGCCGTTGGACCCTCGTTCGACTTCTTCCTTGCCTCGTTAGCCTAATGTTGCAGCATTGTTAAGTGATGACCATAATGTATGTGCAAAACGTGCTACCCCGCACCTTGCTGTTTCACATAGGCACGGTTAGGTAGGGAAGATGGAGCTTTGTGCGCCCCATTCTGGTGATGACTCCAGTCGCTTGTTTTCAATCCCTATCCACTCTTATCCTTTCAGGGACGTTGAAAGGTGTTCCACAGGAGGGGTTGCTTTCGTCCATGGAGAGCTACTGCAGCTGCATCCTCTACCAAGGGCGCAAGCTCCGGGCCCTGGCGCAGCTAGGACGAAAGGCTGCAAGGCCGATTAAGCGACGGCCGGCCGCGGATGATTGTATAGTCCAAGGGCCTGTGGCTCGGGCACTTGGAGGCGCTCACTGTGCAAGCTGCTTCGAGCCTTGCACTCCTCAGACCTCTACTTCACGTCCTCCGGATTGGGGACCTTAGAGACCGTGGCGAACACATGTTTATGAAACAATATGCTCCATTTGAGCACTTATAAAGTAGTAATGACGGATGTGATCAGCGCTGGCCAAGACCGGCGGGTTGACAGGGTGATCAGCTTAGCCAAGGAGTGCGGCATCTTCGCGTGGAAGCGGAAGTTCGGTAGCGCCTTCGGGAAATATTTCATCGTCTATCCCGCAGCACGCGCGCGGTAGCTTTTGTTTTGTTGCGTTTCTATGTTGCGGATTACTTTTCGCGGAACCGCAAGGATTGGCGACTGTGGCGGCTTCAACACGGTACCTTGAGGATTTGATGCATAATGGTTGGATGGCATGGATGCGGGTTGCTTCTGTGCACCCCGTCACACCTGCGGGCTGAGAAACTGCAAAGCAGGGCCTGTGAAAACGAAATGCAGTTGTGGCGACGTGGGTGTCCTGATAGGTGGGTGGCGGTTGGTAGTTTGCTAACAAGCTTATTGAGTCGGGACATTGTACATGGCTCTAATCTAAAGTGTATCGTAACGGGTTGCTATTGTGTATCGTTGGGACTACTGTCGTATATGATGTTTTCAAATCTCTGACAATTTATAGACATGACACTCACATTCCCTTGAGCAACTCTTGTTTTTTAGCAACATGGCCGTTGTCATGTGCGCAACCTTGTCAAGAAATACATTTGCGACGGTGCTCGCATGAGCTCTGTGGGAAGGTCTTTGCGGCATAAACTTGGAGTGGACAGAATTCATGATGATTTGCGCGACCCTGGGATCTGGGCTGCAGAGTTGTGTTAGGTCATGGGAGGAGGATGGGAAGATGTGTTGTGCATGTAGCCAGAAGGAGGCGGTCGCAGGGCCGCGTATGGATGTGCAGGTGCTTGCGATTTTGCCAGGCAGATGGATATCCCAGATAGTTATCTACTAGTATGGCGGGTCATCTTGTGAGGTCAGGCTTCGCTTGGCAATTTCGCGGCCTTTACTAATGCAGCGCCTAGCGATGGTTCAAAATGGCAGACGTGTACGGCGCGGGTGGCAAAGTCACGGCCAACTTTACGTAGCACCGCCGCGCTTGCTTTTAAGTCTAGTCCATGAGTCCTGTAGATGAGTTACATTATGTATCATGATATTGCTACTACTACCATCACAACCATCATCACCATCACTGCAGGTTCTTCTCCTTAAATTGTCACAATTGCTTGCTCAAGTCCCCCATACAGCAGCGACCAATACACTACGCCAGACGAACTAAGAATCCAGGGCAATTGATTCTGCGTTTTAGATCCCGCCTCATGCGAGCAGTCGGTCGCCATCAATATAGCGTGCGTCATGATGTGTCTACTGAGATCACTACATCTCAACAGTTTGCCACATTCTCGCGCATGTGAGTTTGTAGGAGATCTGCCCAGGACTCAAACCTAGGATCTTAAACCGCTAATTGTAGTTATGTCTCCAGCACCAATCTGAATTTGGACAGGTAACATAAAACGACTACGGACCCGAGCTCCTCAGCGTGTGTACGCTCAGCACGTACAGTCTCAGCCCTCTCCAACTGTCACAGGAATTAGAAAGCGGGCAAGGTCGATGATACCTTCTCCTACGATTCCTGCTTCATGCATAGTTTGCATGCGTTTTCATTGCGCTTCAGGAGGTGCAATTGTGTGCTTTCGAATGGCCCAAGTGCATCAGTTACCGGGACATGCTTGAGTATAGGAACAATGACGACCAGCCGCACTGCCAAGAAAAAACGGGGCCAGGCGCATTTGGCGGACTTGCGCGAGCCCGATTTTCTTGGCAGTGAGGTTGGTCGTCATTGTTTCTATACTAAAGCATGTCCGGGCAACTGATGCACTTCGGCCATTCGAAAGCCACGCAATTGCGCTTCCTGGAGCACTGGAGCGCTGGAGCACTGGGACGTTTTTAATCTTATTGCGCAAGAGCGGAATGCTCGTCCGTTTTCGGCACATCGTTACCTACTTCAACGATTGTCCATAAGTCGATTCACGGAACGGGTTCTCCGTTTCGGCAAAATTGTTGCTCAATCTTTTCCGTTTCGGCATGCCGTCTCACGCTACCAAACGCGACGCGGGATCCGGTATCGGAACTGACATTTCCATCCTTTTGAATCAGTTGCTCCTATCCTAACTTTAACATTAGAAATTCTTACATCCCTAGCCGGCGACGTGCGGAACCCGACCTAGTGCAGTGACGCTACTGGGATCGCACCATGAGTGCAGCAACGTCTTCCCGTCGCCAGACACGCGGTCCCCCGCAGCCCCCAGCTTTGGAGGTCGCTTGCACACAAGAATTGCAGCAAGCGGCACTCAGAGCCAACCTTTTGGTGGTCTCGTTTACCACCATAATCAGAGACCGGTCGAGGACAGAACTGGAGGGACATACCCGGCCATTGCAGAAATCCCTCTACCAAGCACTCCTACCCCTCCTGCACTCGGCAATTGCCAACCGCCGGCAGATGCCAGGTACAGCTGGCGGGGAGCGTATATCCAACTGCGCGGCGGGGCTATCTTTAACGTATGACCTCGCCATCCCCCAGCAGCAACGGCACCAGCTCATCAGCCTCCTAGACACACGCAGTCAACTGCGTACCACCGTGGCCGGCCACACACCGGTCTGGTGGGTTGCCAGGGAGGGTCCATACTATGTGATACCACAACCGCTACAAATCCTTACCCATGGCTGGCCGCTCGGCCTGACGGAAAGCGCGGTTAGGGGACAACTATCTAAGTTACTGCCGGCAGACGTAATCTTAGGAGTTTCCCCATGGTACCACTACAGAGTCCACTGCCCTATACCGGCACTGGACAAGTGGATCATATCC